GAGGTGTTTGAAAAACTAATGTAGCTAAATCTTCATCCCTCACTCTAAAATTGAGCCCATATGGACTAAACATTTAAATATAAAACATAAAAACAAAAGTGCTAGAAAAAATCATGCTGTTTAAAAAATAATTATCTTGAGAATGTGACCAAAATCTATCTGTTAAAATGGAGTGTTTAATACTTATTCTAAGAATTAAATGTATGGTAACCATCAACAAAACCAAAATAAAAAATAAACTAGGAAAACCATCTAGCAATAATTACACCACAGGCAAAGGGCTTAATTTCTTTAAAATACAAAGAGATTCTAGAGTTTATAACTTTAAATCCCAAAACTTCCTAGAAAAGTTGGGAAGAGTGAGCAAGAAGCTCACAAGAAAGGCAATATGAGGAGTCAATATACTTAGAAGTAATCTATCAACTCTGTCCAAAAATTAATGCAAATTTAGATGCACTTAGATGCTTAGACACCATTTTAATCATATCACATTGGGCATTACAAGAAAAATCAGTTTCTTAATTATTGGCAACTGTGTGGAAAATTTGATAGCAGGGTTAAAATTTAGTTATAACATTTTGCAGAGCATTATGGCAGTTTCTTTCAAAATTTAAAATGTGTATCTATCTTGTGATATAATAATTCTACTATGATTATGCCTGGTAAATATATACATACGAGTTCATAAAATATATGTGTAAGGATATTCATGGCAGAATTTCCTTTTAGTGACAAATACCAGAAATCTCTAAGACCAATGTATGCATGCGTATAAGACAGAAAGAAATTAAGATGGGAAGAACAAGAGAATGAATAAGCCATGGAACTGACGTAATTTGCTGCTCTGCCTTTTGAGCAAGTAAACTGCGTAAGAATGGACCCTTTGGCCTTGCCGGATTGCACAGAGAATATTCTGAGTTCACCTGAGTGCATAGTCAGCCAGTCCCACAGCTGGGACTATAGAATCAGTAAAATCACATGAAAGCCAAGGAAAGTTATGTTTTCTTGTTTTGATTTATGATCTCGAAACATCTTTTAAGGAGAAACCCATTCCACAAAGCATTGAGGCGAAGCAGTGATTAGGCATTTAGAATCCCTGCAGCCACCATGGGAAAGAGGTCCATGTTTACACAAAAAGGTACAGCATGTAGAGGGAGCCTGGAAAAATCCCCTCTGCATAGAAGTGTCCAACACCAAGGTACCTTCAGTCCTCCCCCACAGTAAAATGCACAACAGTTTTCTGGAATAGTTTGTGAGATTTAGTTTTATGTCCATTTTCTTGCCACACATGTAAGAAATAGATCACATTCCCATAGTCAAGTTGATGGTCTTATTACGAAGACAACATGTACATGGGATTTTGAATTTCAGATCTGAGGTCCTTCGTAGGCAGCGTCACAGGATGGTACAAGTGAAGAAACGCAGTTCTAGAGGACTTCTGTTGTGTCAATAAAGAGAAAGGAAGAAGAGTTTGGGCACTATCTCGGCTGACAACTGGGGCGTTTTGGACATGGCCAACTTTCCTGGCTCCGCGGAATCTGTCCCACAGTGAGTCTCCGCTAGGCATTTTGGGGCTGCATCTGGCTCCTTTGCTCCCTCGCTTTATGCCAGACGTTCACCTTAGGAACTAAACTGTGGACCGCCCCCTCCTCAGGCCAGTCCCCCAGTCATGGCAAAACCCATAAGAACCCGTGTTCAGAACCATCTGAGTGCTGCAAATGATTACTTAACAGCCTATTGGGAAACATTTTAGCCTCTTGGTTGCAAAAAGGTCTTCAAAAGTAACAGGGCAAATAGTTCTAGGTCTCTGTGACCCAAAATGTGGAATGAAGTCGAAGAATTATTAGAGTATCTTAGAGAAACCTGAGGCCATTCAGCCTAATGATTTAGTGATGGTGTCTGTCACTGGGTTAGAAAAACATGTGGCTTCTAGCTTAGTATTTATTCAGCGACAGTCACTGATGTTGGTAGTGCTGGCTGTGGGACTCCTTCTGTGTCCTCCATATTCTAAGGCAACAGTTTAAATACTCCAAAAAATAGATTTATTTTGTGATATGTTCAACATTTAGAAAATTAAATGATTAGGTCAAAACGATAAAGTGAAAAGGTAATGAAAACCCAGTAACTGAAAAGCAGACATCGCACTGAGCATTCAATTGGTACCTATGAGGTATAAGATAAATAGTAATTTGCTTTCCTATTTCAGATTTAAAAAATCCACAAATGGCAAAGTAGAGTCATTTCACAGGGAAATGCAAAGAGGAAAAAAAGAGAGTCCCCCCTTTTTTAAATTACATTTTTTAACATGAAGACAATCACAATTAAACCTATACTGACCTCTGGTGGTCAAATTTAAAAACGTATTTATACTAGCCAAATTAAATGGTGATTTAATATACACTAATAACTAAAGGTAAGGCAACGAAATGTCTCACTTGGTGTGCCTATTAATGACTAGTATTTCATTGCATTTTATGAATATACCACAATTTGTTTATCTTTCCCCCCTGTTCATGAACAGGGGATTATTTCCAATTTTCAGCTACTATGGACAATTTTGTACAAGACTTTCCTATGGATATACGCATTCATTCCTTTCAGGAATATACTGAGGAGCTGTTACAAAATGATCAGGAGTGAGGTTAAATGAGCATGCCTTTTTATGAACACAGTTGAAAACCTCCCCAATTCCTTTCTCTGTTTATGATGAACATTTTCACTATAGCCTCAGACACATGGAACAATCTCCAAAAACAGCGCAGTTGACCCTTGAACAGCAGGCATCCACTTATACACCACGTCTTTCAGTCAATGCCTCTATGGTTTTGAGCTGAGGTTGGGGCTGCGTGAATGCAGAGGGCGGACTGCGCGCCTGCACCCGGGGTGTCCGACCCGCAGCCCAGGATGGCCGTGAATGAGGCCTAACACAAAATCATAAATCTACTTATCTTTTTTTTTTCCCCATCAGTTTTTATTAGTGTTTGTGTGTTTAATGCGTGGCCGAAGACAACTCTTCTTTTTTCACTGTGACCCAGAGATGCCAAAAGGTTAGACAACTCATCATTTCATATGGAGACCTGAGCATTTATAGATTGGGGTATCCACAGGGGATCCTAGAATCAATTAACCCCCCACAGATACAGAATGACAAGTAACTGTGTAGTTAAGTTTTGGGGAGTCAGATTTTTGACTGTGTAGGACCTCAAACCCCTGCATTGTTTAAGGGTCACTGTAGTACCAAATTGTGTAACCAAGAGTTTAAACTCAAAATCTCTTTTATGGTTGAAGAACTAAATATCATCAAATAAATGACTTACTATATGTAGGATTTAACACATATATAAATTTATGTGTCAAATCACCTGGGCCACAGTGTGGGCAGATATTCGGTTACACCTTATTCTGGGTGTGTCCGTGAGGGTGTTTCTGGATGAGATTAACATTTGCGTAGGTAGACTGAGTAAAACAATAGCCCTCCCCCCCCAAAGGCCTGAAGCAAAGGAAAAGGCTGAGTAAGAGAGAACTCAGTCTCTCTGCCCTTGTGTGAGTTGGACAAGGGTCTTTTCCAGCTCTCAGAGGACCTGGACTTGGACTAAAACTTGGCACATTAGCTCTCCTGGTTCTTGGGCCTTCAAACTCAGACTGGAATCAACACCATCATCCTTTCTGCTGCTCAGGCTTTTGGACTCAGGCTGCAACTACACCCCAGAGCTCTCCTGGGTCCCCAGCTGGCCAGCTGCAGGCCTTGGGGATTCTTAGCCTTCACAGCCACGTGAGTCAATGATTTATAGTAAATCTCTCTATAAATATACAAATATAGAGGTCACTCCAGCATCAATATAAACAAATGACAAGGAAGTCACAGCACACATACTAAACTTCTGTGTTTTATTTTATTTTTCACTTTTCTCAGGATCTTTAAAAAGATAGAAGTATAATTGTTTTCCAGAGAGAGAGTTTGTCTTTAATATTAAAAAAAATGACACGAGTTCCCCTGTGAAAACTTCAGCAGCTAGAAAGCAACTGAATTCACTCTGATGTCCTCTGTTTGCTATCTGTTTGCTATCTGTCCTGTTTTCTTATCTAATTTTTGCCAGACCTTTTTCTATACCAAGATGCTTTCCTGGAATGCTTCACACAACATTCCAGACATTTGGTTCTTTTCCTTTTTAAAGAAAAGAAATCTGACGACACACTGTATTTTATTCATAGAGGAAGAGAAGTATGGCCCACCCCATATTCTCTAAAGATGAAATGCTCAATTCCGTTCAGGCAAAGAAGCCACTTTTTAAAACCTTCACAAGTATTTTCTACTTGTGTTACTTTGCGGTTCTGCCACACCTTTATCTCAACAGCAGTATTGCCAGTGCTAATGGTCGTGGGGCGCATTCATGGCTCTTACTCTGTGCCATGTCTCAAACACTCATGGAGTTAGAGATACCCGTACTCGTTGCCTAGGGATGTCACAGTAGTTACACAAATTTGATGGCTTACAACTGAAAGTTATTTTCTCACAGTGACAGCTGCTAAAGGTCTGAAGTGAGCAGGGCTGGTTCTTTCTGGAGGATCTGAGGGCAAGTCCCTTTCCAAGCCTGGCTCCTAGATCGCAGGCACTTACAGCAACACTTAGCCTCGACTTGTAATTCCACTGCGCAAGTCTCTGCCTTTGTTTTCCTGTGGCTCTCTTCTCGGCATTTCTGACTGTGTATACAGTCCCATACAGAATGGCATTAATAGTAGATTTGACACTGAAGAAGGAAAGTGAACTCAAAGACAAAACAGACACTACTGAAAATAAAACAGACTAGAACTGAATAAAAATGAACAGAGAATCTGTGAGATGCAGGAAAAATTAAAGTAGTCTAATATATGTATAGAGTTCCAGAAGAAGGGGAAGGGGGTGGGAAGCAAGAGCATGTTAAGGAACTAAATGAAACAGAATAAATAATGTAGAAGAGCACAAATCAATACATAAAAGATAAAAACACAGTAGGGAAAACAAGGAAACCTAGAGCTAATTTGTTGAATAAATCAAAATCGATAAACTTTTAGCTGTAATGTTCAGACAGAGAAAGAAAAATCACCAATGTCAGAAGTGAGAAAGTGGACATCACTACAAATTCTGTAGATATGAAGGGGAGAATAAAGAAATTTTATAAACAAGATTGTGCCAGTACTTTCTATAAGGTATACAAACTTAGCAAATTCCCTGAATGACATAAATAAAGAAAGCTCATTCATCGCTGGCCGGTGTGGCTCAGTGGATTGAGTGCAGGCCTGTGAACCAAAGGTCACTGGTTTTATTCCCAGTTGGGCACATGCCTGGGTTCATGGGTCCCCAGGGTGGGGCACCCGAGAGGCAACCACACACTGATGTTTCTCTCCCTTTTTCCTTCCCTTCCCCTCTCTAAAAATAAATAAATAAAATCTTAAAAAAATAAAGCTCATAACCTAAATCACTTTGTTTAAAAAAATTGAGGCCTATGTAGCTTCAGTTTTGAATTCTGCCAAACATTTAAGGAAGAATAATATCCAGTTTTAAGACACTTTCCGGAGCCAGTACTACCCTAATATTACAATCCAGTATCACTTATGAACTCAAAAGCAAAAATTTTTAGTTAAATTTTAGGAAATTAAATCCAACAATATAGTCTAATTAGACATCATAACCAACTGGGAAAAAACACTTAATATTTTATGTGTGATTCAGTGAATTCCTAAAGACCAGTTTTGAAAGAATCCGTGGCTAATTAATTTTAGACTGTAACTTTAAGATATTCTTCATGAAACAAAACTTTTTTGTTTTCTTTTTAAATTACATGCCATGTGCTGTGCTAGCTTCTTGAGATATAAAGCTGAATAAAACACCTTCTACTCTCAAGGAGCTCACAATAAAAATTTAATTGTCACATGCATATAAAGCCAATATAATTCTCAAATAAGTTTTTAAGAAACAGGCAATACAGCCTTTTCTGTTGGAAAAAAATTATTTGAGGTGAGTTCTATAAATCAACATTTATGGACTACGTGAAAGACAGGTTTGTAAACTTTTTAATTATGTCAGGTATGGATGAGTTGGAAACAGTGCTTGTTTTAAGTACCTTGTTGGTTAAGGGAAATGACAATACGCAGGCGGCGTCTCAGGAGCACCTGTGAGGTATCGGTACTTCGGAAAACCACGCGGAACGCTTTAGGAAGTGAGGTTCTGATTTACAGCCTGCCGTCTTGTCTTTCTCTCCTGCTCATTCCCAGAGATTTATTTCATTAGGTCTTGGAAAAAATCTCCATTTAGAAGTTGGAATGTTTGTTTGTTTTCATGGGCCCTTGTCGAGATGAACTGTGTTAGAGATTTTATTACTGGAGAAGGAGTAATTATTCCGCAGGGTCTGGAGTAAAAACAGCCTTGGCCACTGACCTCTTGGAGATGTTTCAACATGTGCAAGTTACGTGGTCTGAGCCAAAAGGGACAGTATGATCCACAGCCATTATTATCCACCCCCCCCCCAAATTCCACATAAAAGATTGGTTTTAAGTATTTCGGTTTTTTTCTCTGAAAAATTCTTCGTAAAATGAAATGGATACAGAAATAAGAGGACATTTGATAGCTCAGGGGAAATGCTCTGTTAATTTCTTTAAACTCATTAGGAGCTAGAGATGTTTGTTCTGATAGGATACAATTCCCACAATGAGGATGGGAGCCTCATTGGGCTACCGCTTCCCTCCATAAGGCGTTGCCATCTCTGTGCACACAGGCAGAAAGCCAAACCAGAGAAAGTTAAAATAAACACAAGAATTTAATCATATTAGGCAAGGGAAAATAAAACCTCAGCACTTCAAAAGAGACAGACAGTAACTTCCTAAGGTAAGCAAAAAGCAGAGGTTTGGCAATTGCCTGTTCCGACAGACTCCCCCGTTTACAGATGAGGAATCTGACACTGGGACTCAAACTTAGCTGAAGCCAACTAAGTACAGTGAAGCAGAGAGGGGATTTAAACCCACACGGGTTACCCCCACAGCGCATACGCTTCAGCAGAACGCGGTGCTGTCTCTTCTGCACAACCAAGTGCTGGACTGTCAGGTGGGGTGGGTGGAACCCACGCTGCACTGGGGGTCGTATTATTTTGAAAGTTGGGGAACCATTGTGATGAACATTGTACAAGCAGTTCCATTTCAGTTTTGTTAAAGAAATAAAACCAGCATGTCCATCATTTTTCATTGCCTAGCAAAAGCCTCCAGTGAAAACAGGAAGAAAACCTCTGATTTTTAAAAGGAAGACTTTAGAAACAATTTTTTTTTTTCAGGAAACACACACATACACATATCTCCAAAAGAGCTTTTGGTCTCTTGAAACTCTCTCTGATGAGCTACAACCTCATTTTCAGTAACTCTAGAATTTCTCCCAAAGTTGGAATAGTACATAGTGTGTGTGTTTATAGTGTGTACTTGCACATGGTGTATAGTCATTATACTCTCACTGATGAGAAGCTTTTGTTCCGTGAAGATGAATTTTTATTTGGAGACAATGAAAAGCAATTTGAGCTAAGTAAGATGGGTGAGTGATGTAGACTGGGGCAATATTAATATGAAGTAAAAGTAAGTTTGAGCTAAAAATAATGAAATGGCCTTTTTAACATTCAGCCACCAATGCTGACATTTACTTTTTCTAGCAAAGGATGCAGGTATCTTTGGAATCTAATTCCATTGTGAGCTAACTCTCCTTCCCTCACCTGCCCCCACCTTCACCCCGCTGCTCCACCTTTCTCTGCCTCGTTCCTGCCGCCCTTCATTAATGAGTATAATATACTGGAGATTCAGACATGCACAGAATTCTTTCTGTGCGGACTCCGCGCTGTTTTCTAGACTGTACAACACCATAAACATATATTGTGGCGAAGAAGCACCCTTAGATGTAATGCTGTAAGGATGGAGACATTTTAGTCACCCCGAACTTGACTGCAAATCAGTTCTCCTTCATTCTCACGTTTGTGAAAACTATAATTTACCCACTCCAAGATGAGTTGAGGTCCATTTGCTGTTTGAAAATGAGCTCTGTTCTCAGAATAATCTGACTAGGGTCCAGTAGAGGCGTTGTCTTAACCACTGCTGCCACCTGCTGGGCGTGTGATTCTTAGACTTTAGAAAAAGCCGTGCATAACGCTCCCGTCAAGATGATGCAAAATGCGAATATCATTAATAGGTAGTTTTGCTGACCCTGAATAATAAAAAAGAATAACTGTAATTAAAAACTTCTAAATCAAACATGCGAAAAGCACATACTCTGGAGATTACTAGGGACCTTACTAACCATCTTCTATATACACACACATTATTTTATATATATATATTTATAAATATATATATATATATATATATATATATATAAATATATATTTCTCTAATATATGTATATACACACATGTATATGAGTGTATATATACATATGTGTGTATATATGTGCATATATACCTATATATGTATATCTATACACACACACGCTATTTCTCTAAGTAATCATTGAGATTCCTCTGAAAACCTAGAAGAGCTTTACCAATCCACCCATTCAATAAACACAGGTGGACTCCTACTGTGCATCAGTGTGAGCTGGGGTTAAAATGCACAAAAGTGAGGACACACTGTGCCCTTATTCAGCTAATCATATAGTATGGGAGTCAACAGCTGATAAAATAATCACAGAAAAGAATGTTACAAAGTGAGTGGGGCACTAGTAAACAAGTAATTCTGAGTGTGTTATAAAAGAACCTTAACAAAGTGGTGTGGAGGGTGGGAAGTTGAGCTCTAACTCTACGTATCAGTGAACTGGGCGGGCCCAGAGGGCAGCAGGTGCAAATCTCTGTTGTAAGAGAAATCAGGACACTTGCCAGGTGCGGAAAGAAGGCCAGTGTGACTAGAGCAATGAGAGGAGGGTAGAGCAAGGTGAGGTTGGAAGGCAGGGATCCACAGGGCATGTTCTGCTTTGGGGTTTTATGTTTCCAAGTGGTGGAGAGACCTTAAAGGAACAGACACAGCTGGACATGAAAAGACTGGATTTGCATTTGCAGAAACCCACTCTTTCTGACAGTGAAGAGATTGGCGAGGACCAGATATATTGACGGAGACCAGTGAGAAGGTCCCAACAGTCTTCCTGGGGAGAGATGAACAATTCAGGTAAATAAATAAGGATCAGTCTAAAGGGTGATGAAGAGACAGATACTAGGTCTGTATGTGACCAGGTGTCCTGGCACAGGGATGGGAAACTCTGAGAACCACTTTCAGGTGGGGACAGTCCATCTTTAAAGAAACAGAGAATATCTCCCTGTATTAACTAAAAGTATCTTATTTCCTTCAAGTTCCATCTCTAGGGATACAGACAGATCCATTTCTAATCTCTGTCCTATAAGAAAAACCCTTAAACATGGAAAAATAACTGTCTTACACCCCCGAAGCATCTTTTTCCTGGTCAATATTTCAGCTCCTTGGACCATTTTCTCCTGCAGAACCATCTCGAGCTCTCTCATTCTTCTGGCTGTTTCCCTCTGAGTGACTGACTGCCAGGTGGTCAGTCACTGAAAGGGAAGATCTGAACATCACAATGTAAACCGAGATTAGCTCCTCTCTAATTTCAGATATATGATCTAAAATTACTTGGAGAGCTCCTGACAGTCAGATTATATAATACTATTATTAGCTCTTATCAAGGTTACTGCCAGTTAATAAGTAGCCCATACATAATACGGTACGTATTCCCTTTTTCCAACTGAATAAAGAATTGGGTTAGAGTGGATTAATTGGTCTTTCTGATGACCAGAGAGAGGTCTTTGTAAATTGGGCTGGAGTCAGTTGTGTTGTTGGGTTTGCTGTGAGCATCGACACTGTCAGAAGTCACTGTAATACGAGCTCTACAAGTGAAAGACAGCAGCACACACACACTCACACTCGAATCCTGCATTAAAGCATTAAGTTCCTCTGACATCTTTTTTCTTAGCTTTATAACAGTGCCTTTACCCAGATACTAGTACTGAAGCAGAAGAGGCACTCAATAAATATTGTTCAAAGAATGAATACACTCAGGTGATTGCTAAATGTACTTTAATCACACAGTTGATGTGATTACTTAAAAAAGAAAAAAAAAACACGGATGGGGCCTCAACCATCAGCATCGTACAACTTAGTTATGTGAATATTTTGGTAAGCTCTCTGTTTAATTATCTATACAGACAGAAGAATAACGTTCTCAGGGGATAACATTTTTTTCTTTCCCCTTAGGATTAAGAATCTTGTCTAAATTGCCTAGTCTCCTAGGGGGGAAAATGCGTTTTGTTTGGGTAATAGTGTTCCTTGGTCAAAGATGAATGTTAGCTCTTAGAAAAATCACACTAACGTTCTCCTCAAAGCAAAAAAGGTTTTAACTTGGATTTCTTAAACAGCTATTGAGATAAAAAACCAACTCATTCTTTACCTGAGGGTAGCTACTGACCCATAAATTGTTGCAGTAATAATCCCCTGCATTGGGATTACCGTAGACACACTGGCTTTAGAAAAGTGTTGCTAAAAATATAGTGAATACCCGGCTTAAAATAGCTAAACGTTAAATTCTAAAACAAACTTCTGAAAGAGGAACAGTTACAAAAGATATGAAAGAATATCAGATGTGCAAAGCATCCAACTGGAGCACTGGCGGCATTAAAACAAAATAAAATCATTAAATTCTTTCACTCAAAAGTGCTTGGGTCTCCAATTCAGTTCTTACTGCTGCAGGTGTGGACTTTTTTTAACTATGTGTCCTCCGGGACTGCTCTGAGACATAACTGATAAAGACTAAAAGTCATAATGTGTTTTTGCTTTTGTTTTACCTAGGGTTTTGTGTTGTTCCTAAGAAAAATACATTTTTAAATTCTGATGGGGTTCTGGATTCAGTGTTTAGCTGATAAATTTTTCTCAAACTCACCGGCATGTAAAGTATTTAAAACTGCCTTTAGCTTCGTTGTCAAGAGGTAGTTAGGTGCCTGCATTGAACGGTGTCACTGGACACCCTTGTAGCTCTGTTTGTAGTCAGATTGGATGCCTAAGGTTTTTGACTTTAGGAAGGTAAGCATAACTCACTCTTCCCTTTCAGCTTGGCCCTCCCTCTCTGTCATTACATACACACTTGGCCACACTTGAACACTCACTCCTAAATTCCAGAAGCAATGCCATTGGGATTTTATAGGAATCTCAATGAATAGGCCTGGAGAGAACTGCTTAGTAAAAATAGGGAGTTTTCCCTTCAGGAATATGGAGAGTCTTCCCATTTGTTCTGATTTTCATTTATGTCCTTTTGTAATAAAGCAAGAAGTTTTATAAATCTAGCATACTTCTTGATAATTATTTTTGTATATTTTTACAATCACGGTAAGTATTAATAGTATCTATTTTCCACTTTGTAACTGATAATTAGTGGCATATTAGAAGGATATTGATTTTATATTTATGCTCTACATAAGCACCTTAGTAAATGACCATAGTGGATCATAAGATTTTCATAAAATTTTAAAGAATATAACATGACACCCAGACAACAATGATCTCATTTCTTTTTCATATCTATTCCTCTTATTCTTAATTTTATCTTATCACACTGGATAGGATCTCCAGAACTGATGAATAATGGCAACAATAGAAAAATCTTTTACTTCCAGCTAATGAGAACTCTTTATATCAGTTTTGTTGAGGAATAATTGATAGGGAACTCTTGTGTTTCACCTTAGTTATGTATTTGTTACTGTTTTTAATAGACATCTTCTATCTGCAGCTTCCTCCCTTTATAGCTTTCCTAAGAGGTTATTTTCTTACTTAAAAACTGGTTTTGATTTTTAGTAAATGCCTTTTGAATATATATTATCACATACTTTTCCCATTTAATATGATAATAAATTCGATTACTTAATTTGCATATTATCAACTACCGTTGCATTCCCGAATTAAACCCTACTTGGCCAGGGCTTATCATTCTCACAGTTCTTCCTCTGTTTGGTCTGAATTTTTAAAGACATCTTAAAAAAAAACTCTTTGAATGTCTTTGAACATCTCCTTAGAGGACTCTGAGGATTTAACACTAAGCTTAATGGTTAGAGGTTTCCTCTCTTAAGGGAGTTCTTGCATCTAGAAAAAAGGATTTTTAATTCAGTATCATTATTACTGTAGTGGTAAGCAAAATAATTTTCAAAACCTTAAAATAAATCTATTCTTAGTTTGTGCTTCTCTACCCCTTAATTGCACATAAGCTCTGATCACTAACTCGTGATTTTTCTAAGGCTTCGGAATGTTATGCTGACTAATAATTGTTAAATAGAAATCATGCTTTTAAGGCGGATGAAATATTTGCAAAGAGCTTTAGAGCATGTCATGGGGATAGAATTATTTTTGTGGAAAGCAGCCCTAACTAAGATAAATGAGAAGCATGTGCACAAAAGTAACTTATGAGTCTACACTTTTCTAAATTTGTCTTGGGTATTAAAAAAAAATTAAGATCATGGTCCAAGTATCTTCTAAACATGTTTATTTCATCTGAGAATCTTACTCATATTATCAAATTATGCCTTTCTAAATCAAAATATGTCACTTAAAATGAATGAAATGATTTTTTAAATCTAAAATTGAATGATCATGTTAAGGATTAGCCAGGGACATAGTTCACTCCATGGTTCCTGGAGACTACCAACATCAGATCTTCTCAGAACCAGGAATTATTTGCTATTACAGCCGCATATTGAGACAGAAAATATGCCTATGATGCCTTGGGAGATTGTCAAAGACATTGGAGAAGGAAAAGCCATGAGTCACTTGTCCTGTAAAGGTACTGGTTTGATATGGAGGCCACTGGGAGCAGGAGACCCCACAGAAGTATCTATCCCCAAATTCCATTTGCCTCAGGGATAGTTTAATTGTGGGAATAAATCTTTTATTTGTTTATCTACCATGTTTTACACAAAATAAAATTTCCTTGTACCATAATTTATTGGATTATTTAACCAAATCTCTTATGGAAATACAAGGTCAACTAAAGCGTTTTTCCCCTGGGGGCTGGGGTGGAGAGAAATATGTTTTATAATAATTATCATATTTTTATTATCTTCTTTACTAGTTAGGCATGAAAAAACATTTTGACGATCTGACCTGTCACCTCCATTCATGAGTTTTCTGCACTGAGTTCAGTAGTTACATGCAGTCCTCAGAAAATAACCCAGACAGTATTAAATCCCCTTTTTGCATGGACCTACACCTGTTTTATGACCCTGCCCTTTCTTGTACTTACCTGTATTTCCTTAAATACGAAGACACCCCACATCGCAGCTACAAATCCTGGACCCTTAAAAAAAAACGAATTAAATCAGTTATTTTTCTGTGGCTGTACTCTACATTGGAGAGCTGAACTGATACTTTAACCACATAACTTTCTATTGTGAAAGCAATATAGCAATATTGTCAGGGAAATAATCTCAACTCTAACTTAACATTAAATTAACCTAAGTAACATTAGGTAAAATATGGGGGCTTTCATTTTTATTCTTTTCTTTATGGTACTCACTTTTATTATTTTGATGATGCTACATTTTGTGTTAGAGAACGCTTTTTTAAAGGTGCTCTATTTCTCATAAAATATTTTAACAAGCAAATAGTTTATTTTTTCTAGTAAACTCATTACTTATGGTACTGGAAATAGAATTAATAGGAAAAAGTGTCTGAAGAAGTGTATAACTTTTTCTGGGATGAGATCATCTCATAACTGAAGAAACTTCAGTATGTTCTTTTGGATCTGACAAATAATGTGCACAAGGAAGCAGCATGTATTTTAAAATTTAAAAGAGATGATACTACTTCACAGTGACCAACCAGATCTGACTTTAAACTCTAATAAATGTTAAAACTAGTACTCTGGGAATAGAGAAAAACCACGTAAGAAAAAATAAATAATAGGTTCATGAACAGGAAATAAAGACCGAAATAAAATAATATAAAGGACACGAGAAGAAAAAAGATGGGGAAAAAAGGATGAGGGTGCAATTTGAAAACTTAAGCTACTGAAGTCTTATTATTATTTTTTTAGCTGAGAAGGGAAAAAATAGGAATTTGAAATAGTCATGGTTTTTGCAGAGAAGGTATATTGCATTAGCATTTTTATGATTCCTTTTGAAGCCTGCACAAACCCTGGAAGTTTTAAATAAACAACTCCAGTATGTTTTCCCCTCCTCCACTTCTTCAACCGTCTACATGACTGGGTCAGCAAAGTCAGACTCCACTCCTGCCATACAGGCAAAGTAATAAAAATATATTGCTCTCCGTCTGTCAGCATCTGGAAAGGTCTACATCAAAAGAGCCAGAGAAATAGGTCAGAGGAACTGTCTGTTATCAGCGACGTAAGGTCCTAAGCCGCAAAATCCAAACCAGACAAAAAGCATCTGGGTCCATACTGACTTTGGACAGGATGGAACAAAACAATAGACCAGAGGATATAATATTAATGGATCGGGCCATTTGCTTAAAAATTTTATCCTCTTCAATCAGGAAATTCATTTCCCTTCAGAGTACTTGGTAGAAGATAATACCAAAAGGGTATCATTGACCTTTGAGGCCTTTTGGCTGATGGTTTTCTAAATATTTGCTGAGACGGCGTCTAAAGGTTATTGTGATGAGTAATGTGGTTACAGGAAGTGGTGCTTTGCTGAATGCTATTGTAAGTGAAAGTGTGTGCAGACTCTGTGATTCAGGGAAGGAGAGCCAAAGAGGAAGGGCATCCTAGGTAAGTAAGAGTGACACCTGTTTTGACAATTGGAATTGTATATTTCCCTTTTGTAAATGTATACAATTTGCATTTGTCGATCAGTGTTTGAAGACAAGGTGAGCTTGAGCCATCTTTAAGGGTGGATTCAGCTTTCAGACTTACAGGGAAGACCTGGAGCAGGGGTAGCAAGTCCTTTCTCATGCTGTGTGGGTTTTTTTCTTTGTGGTTTTTTTTTTTTTGCTTTTTAATTGAGTGTTATTTGCCAATAAACAGTACAAATGTAATTTCCAGGAACTCCTAATGTACTCACCAGTAGATAAGTAACAAGGGAAATATATGTACCTGGGGAAAACAGAGCTACTGGGATTCAAAAAATATGCTTTTTGGAAAAAATAACAATGACCTTATTTATAATTATTGAAGCTGATGATGGGCATATTTGAAATTTTCCACTAGAAAATATTAAATGTACTCTGCTCGGAAAATAAAATTAAAAAGAATGTAAGATCTTCGAGGGTAGGGACTGAATTTTTTCTGCATGTTGATAAGGTTGTCTTACACAGAGGAACAACAAAGTAAAACCATGTGAGAGCACAGGGGCGGTCAGGACCTATTGCTCATGTCCCAGCAATGCCTGTCCCTCCCAGGTGACAATCCTCAAGCACCAGGAAGCTATACCTGCTGGGTGGGATGACTGTGCTTATCTCCAGCCAGCGGTTCAAGAATAATCCTTTCGACAGGCACGTGTCCACAAGCCACTCTTGTCGGCCCCTCTGCCCACACTCCTTCTACAGCAGCAATTTATTCCCATTGCATTAGGTTCTATAGTTTTGCCTTAAGTCTTTCCCAAAACTTTGACATAGGCAACAGTGGTTGGAAAACCATCTCTCTACTGTAAATGTTTTTTTGTAAAAAAATATTTATTTATTGTTGTTCAATTTCCCTCGTAAAAGGCCCCATATTATAAATTCTGTTTAAAATTTAATGCTAGAAAATAGTTGTCTTTTCTGAGAAGATAGTATATTGTCAGTCAAAAAGAATTAATCCAGCTACCCCACTGGATTGCCCCCTTTTATGTGTGTAAAACAATTTTAATCACATAACTATTTACCCTTTGTGCTATTTGCTTTCTTTCTCATTTTTACTATAGTTTTGATGTTCTGTGTTTGTGTTTCTATTTGCTGTGGATGACGTGGTTGCATCTGTATCTTTTACATAAAGTAATTTCAAACCCTTTTTGGAGAACCCACCGTTGTTCAAGAATATAACATTTGTATCCCTTCATGAGGAGAATATCATACTGTATACTTCTCTATGAAAATTTACCTTTAAGCATTTAACTAGTAAGCTTTATATCCCATTGTTTATTATATTTCCCTGTGTTATGTGGTCACTTCTAGCATTAAATGATACTAGAATCATTCCCTTGAATGATGAGAAACAAACTCCTTTGTGGGAAAAATGTGGGTTCTTTGCCATTCCAATGATGAGGACTCTAACCTAAAAACATCCCTGTAACATGCTTGATTTCAATAACATTTTCCCCTAGCAGAGATTAAACATGTCAAAATGTGAGTTCTTTATAGTAAAAAACCTCATTTATTTGAATTTAGTTGTTCTTTAAAGCTAACTATTTTATGAACACAATAAAACTGTCAAAATATACTGTTTGAAACCCAGAATTTATATTAAAATTTAAGGATGTTTCAAACTTTAATGCAACATGTTTTAGATTAGTTAATATGTTTTTAAAAAGCCCATTTTCTAGGTTTGCACAGGCAGGACAATAAAATGTTTCAGGCAAATTCTGTTTATGATGATGACTTAAGAAGCAAGGGATATAGGTAAACAACCGGTCAGCAATTGCAAATACCTAGAGTAGACATAAGAGCCCAACATGAAAACAGTTCATTCCTGGGTGTGTATGCCAGGCCTATTACCATAATGAACCCAAAACACACTCTAAGCTGGATTCTACACTGATGGCAAACCGGAGCACCGTGCACTGGAAAGAAACCCTGTACTGAGAAGCCCTGAGATTCCCACTGGCTTTCTCACTCTCACATTGCTGTTGGCGATGGCCTCAATTTTCTCATCTTCAAAATGGGGACAATCCTATTGATACTTGTCCTGCCTAGGTCAAAAGAAGTATGTTTGTTTTTCTGTTACCTATGTGCTACATAATATGTGCCAAGAAACCCCCAGCCAGATGAAGCAAATTGTATTATGTGTGCTACAATAGATGGCATTACCCAGAGACAGTACTTTGCTTTAGCACTTTCTGAAAGCCCTCCCTAAAAATATTGAAGTTTCATGTGAAGAGGGGGAGGAAGTACTTTCTGTCTCACAGGTTGTCAGGCCACTCAAGGGTGACAATGTACACAGGAGCATTTTATATTTATAAACTGTCATGTAGAGATGAATATTGTTCTAAATAGCAAGTTATAATACATCTAAAATGACATTAGGTAAAATGACCAAACAAACACTGCAAAGGATATCAAAGATGAAGAAACCTGAAATGAAGTTGACAATGTTCTCTTGGCAATTAAGGACATGAGATTAGAAAGCATCTATCAGTTTATTCATACGAATCTATTATCCTACTTGTCCTCCTAAACAATAAAACTCTATAGCAGGCTTCAGTGATTCACTAAGAATGCTTCAGAAAAGTTAGATTTACATGTAAAAGACAAAACATGGGAAAAACAGTTCGGCTACTTACAGCAGTGATGATCGGGAAACTGACCACCGCACTGAGGGAGTGATTAGCTATGAACCAACAGCAGGAAGCGATGGCCCAAAGGAGTCCTGACAGAAATCCTGAAACACACACAAACACCGCGCATTTACAAACCACGCTCCCCTCCTGAAAAAGCTGCCCTCTGGATTTAGCAGGAATATTAAGGCACACAGATGGCTGTGTTCCTATCAATGTTATTGGCCAACATGGATTTTTGAGATATGCTTCATGATCATTTTGGAAACCACTGATTGCTGTTGATTGCTGTGGGTATAATTATCAATCCTTTCACTTTATTGACATTAAGTGCCCAAAGTAATTATTAAGGAAAGACTGTAAAGGGGGACCTAGTGAAGATACCAGATCTGAACGTGCTCTGCAAACACCATTTACTCTAGACCATGAACATAAAAACAAGTGAAATTCAGAATGATGCTTATAACTAAGGAAAAAACCTCCTAGAATCTGAATGAAAATAGCAGCTAAAAAACCTCATGATAATTGAACTAAGCCTTTAATAAATATTCTACCACTTTCTATGACAGTATAGTGGTATACTTTGACTTAAATCAATCAGGCACTCAAAAATGAATCTCATAAATGCTTTATTTTGTTCTACAAACATTTTACTTACATACTTCTATAAATTGAATTGCAGCAAAATCATAAATGAGAAATTATATATATTTTACTATCAATGGGTGATGGATTAAGTCCAAAAGCATGTACATTTATCATATATTTTTTGAGCTCTAAAACAATTTCTCCTTAATTTTTGGAAAAAATGTTTGCTTTCCCAAGATTCCTGTTTATTGATAATTAAAAAACAATAAAGTCACAGGACTCTGACTTTTAATAGAAATTCATAGATAGCAAAGGAGAAATAATAAAGTACAATGGTCAACATACGCTATGTTTTGGCATAGGAAATGATCTTAGCTTCCTTGTTCAAGTTTTAGGTTTTATAATAATGATGAGCAATTTATATTTTGTTTCATGGTTTTTAAATTCTTCATGTTTGTTGGTGAATTGGGCCAAAGCAATGAAAGGAGTGAAAACACATACACAGGATGGCTTGGTTTCCAGAAGATGCTTATTTAAGTTAAATAAGTAAAGAATGATACTTTCATAGAGTAAGAAGATTTTCTGTAGTAAATATTCTTACCTGGCAAGACTGCTTCAGGATATAGTTTGGGATTATTTTTCATGGTTATACAGTAAGCCAGAAAGTAGACCGTACTTGTAAGAAAGATGCCACTGGAGTGTGCAAAAACATAGTCTAAATCTGAAAATACAGATTATAAAACTCTTAAGTGTATCGTTTTAGTCATTTCAAATATAATTAGAGTTCTAGAACAAAACAAACTCACCAAGATTAACCTTCAACATAAAGGCACCATTAATTTTATCACTCTAGTTTTCTAAATGCTCTTTATATAGAATTTTAATTAACATTTAAAACCTGGAAATATTAAGTAGTATATTAGTTAGCATATTCAAATCTGAAAGACTCATCTTCATGATTATTTTGAAAAGCTAAATAAATAACAAACAGTACCTTCTTTTTTTAAGAATTGGTATTCAGACCTAATTTCACTAATGGCTACAGCAATTGTAGCACATTTCCAGCAGATTGTAGTGGGAGTGGGTGTGAGAAATTGGGGGGACTGCTAATGTTATATGATCTATTGATTAAGTTGGAGACCAGGATCTCTGTTGCAGATGACACCTACATAGAAGAACATTATGAAGGGACACCAAAGTGAGTTTTAATCAGTTGTTTACTGTAAACCTAATTACACTAGGGATATAATGACATGTGATGGTCACCAATGTCTGAGAAACCCATCTCCACCGAGTGTTCAAGCAGACAGTACTTTGGCCATAAAGATGGGTAGGTTCCAGCTGGGAAAGTCACATTGGACTCAACATTTCTCTCATCTAAAACTTTGCCTAAGATAAGTGGCCATATTTAGGGAGGAAAGTTGAAAAGATCAAAGAGTTTATCTATTCTTCAGAACCATTAAGGCCTACTTCTGGATCACATAAGCACCACACACCCACCTATGCACTAGCACAAAGGCAGTCTAACAAACCATTCAAAGCACGACCAGCCCCAGCTGGTTGGCTCGATTGCTGGAGCGCCATCCAGTATCCGGTACATCACAGGGTTGCAGGCTTGATCCCTGGACCAGAGGCCTAAGGAGGCAACTGACCCATGTTTCTCTCATATTGATGTTTCTCTCTCTTCCTTCCTCTCTCTAAAACCAGTGAACATATATCCTCAAGTGAAGATTTAAAAAAAATTTCAAAGCACAAATCAGCTGCGTAGCAATCCTCAATCCACTACTTGCTGTCTTTGAGACTTAGTTAACTTACCTCTCTGTCTAGATTTTTTCAACGATAAAACAAGAATAATAATGCAGTTCAACCAGGAACAATTGCTACAAATGAGTTATTGTAATGTGCTTAGAACAGTGTCTATCAGAGCATGTACTCCTGATGTGTTTGTTAAATAAATGAAATTAAAAAATGATGCCCCTTTAGAATTATTTTTTCATAAAGAGTGTTCCTTTCAGACTACATTTGAGTTGTCATAAGAAAGATCCCTGAGAACTGACTGTACTACTTATGTAGATAAATTTTTAAGGACATTGTTTATTATATCCCAGTACTAAGGACGACTGTACTCCTGAACAATTAGTTGTTTTTATCTTGTGCTCACTAAATTGTGGTGCTGGTCTGACTTCCATGGTGACTATAAGAAATCTTGGAACCAGATTTAGGGCCCATTTCTATCAAGTGTACAAGTGTGGTACAGTTTTTAGACTGATTTCTACTTATTTTTTTTCACTCTTGTTTTTCTTTCTCTTTTAATTTACTCTATGTTCTATTTTACTAGTTTTTACTCTTTAAATATAAAAAGAATAAAAATATGAAAAGAATTTTTAGAAAATCTAAAAGAAAAGAGAATAAAAAAATTTGGTTGCTTTTAATGGAGTTGAATATAAAAAGGAAGAAACCAACTGTGGTACCTATTCAAGGTCTATCTACTCATTTAAAGTTGAGTTAAAATCCAGCCTTTTCATCAATCAATCTTACCACCAGACTTTGGCACGCCACTCTCTTCTTTTACCTGAACGCCGATCACATTAATTTTATGTACCACCCAATTTAGAACTTTATTATCCATGATCTCATCCTTTTATCATTTTGTGAATGTAAGCCATGTTTCAACATAATTGCAGGGCCTCTGGAGTAGACACCTTCCATCTCTTTTTGAGCCTTCACAAGGCTAATGCACATGGTGTTGAATTTACGCCTAAGAAATTAATTCTGTCACTAGAAACAGGTTATTAAGGAGCACTGTGTAGGCATTTCAAAGTACCGCTCTGTGCTTAACAAATCATATCCACTGACTAAATAGGCTGTATTCTGACCTTTAGGAAGTTTATACATTGACTTTTACTTAATTTTAAAGTACCATGTATTCAAGTTTAGCTTTTTTTTAAAGAAGAGAAGAATATATGTTTACCCAGAAATCATCTAACCAGAAAATAATCTCCAGATCTTAATGGAAACCTGAAAACCGTGTGTTTAGATCCAGTAGAAAATGAATGCTGACTGAGGTTGATTATAGCTGTATGTTAGAGATTTTGTTTGTATGAAAATACTCAAACAGTCCTTTATTACTTTTAGTCTTCAGTGCCTTTGTAATTCACCCCCTACAATGAAAAACTAAGATCAAATCTATGTAGCAATATTTACTATGGTCACACTCTTTTTTAGTGATTTTATTAGGGTGGCATTGGTTAATAAAATCATCGATTTCAGGTGTGCAATTCTATACACATCATCTGTATACTGTATTGTGTGCTCACCACCCCAAGTCAAGCCTCTTTCCATCACCATTTATCCTTCTTTACCCCCTTCTACCTTCCCCCACCCCCTATCCCTCTGGTAATAACCATACTGTTGTCTGTTTCTATGAGTTTTTGTTCATTTCTTTTTGACTTAATCCCTTCACATATCTTTTTTTTAAACATCATTTTGTAAAGATTTTATTTATTTAAGAAAGATGGGAAGGGAGGGAAAAAGAGAGGGAGAGAAACATCTATGTGTGAGAGACACAGCAAATGGTTACCTTTCACACGCCCCCAACTGGGGACCTGGCCCGCTACCCAGGCATGTGCCTTGACCAGGAATTGAACCTGTGACATTTAGGTTTGCAGGCCAGTGCTCAGTCTACTGAGCCACACTAGCCAAGGCTAATCCCATCGTCTTTCTTAAGTAGAAAATGAGGTATTGAGCTTATTGATAAAATAAAATAACTTTTTACTCTCACCATACTGGCTTGCCCCTGAATATACACTGTCATTTCTTTTGCCGTGGTCCTTGATATAAATGACCGGCACAAATGTCGATCCATAGAGTATTCCAGATATCACTGCAAGACTGCAGCCCCTTAAAACACAAATAAGTCATTATTAACCTTGGTCAAAAACACTATTTCCGACAAACACACAAATGAAATCATAACGCAGGCATGCTTCAAAATGTAAATCACAAGCACTGATGCCAAAATCTCCCCTCTCTCTTGAGCTCTGTGTCTGGCAGAAGCCAAAGAGATACTCCACAGGGTCAAAGTGGCATCAGGACTGAGCACAGCTTCAGTCCTCCGCTGTCTAATCTTGGAAACACATGATTTACAGAAGTTATATACAGATGATTATAAACTGTCATTACACAGATGAGAATGTTGCCATCATATTATACAGCCTCCATAAATAAACCTGGCTCTCTAATTAAATTTTGAAGTATCTGTAGATTGGCACTGTGCCCTGTCCTGTTTTTAAAAACCCTGCATGACATCTAGCACAGGGCTAGGCCAGAGTCAGTTCTAAACAGAGGCTGTTAAAACAGCTGTGGAGATCCACAGATTTCCCTGCATCTTATTTGACTATGACATGGTCAAGAGGAAGTCCTGACTTCATAAACTACTTGAGATACTTAAGGTAAAATTACTTCTTGTGAGAAGGACGTTTCATCTTAAGCCCTGGAGTCGTGGTGACTCCTCGGACTTGGTGTCTGCAACGAAGCCTGTGTTTCTGTTGATTTTGAGGAGAGGTCACTGGTGTTTTGGAACAGTCCCTTTAACTTAACCCAAAAGGACATGGTATGAAACAGGGAAGAGTTTTAGGCAAAACCATTCCTCTGCAAACTTAAAAGCAAATGCTTGAAGTCTATTTTCACAGAGCTTTAAGGAATATAATGCTGCAGAAATAACTGCAGTAGCTTAGGAATTCCCCAAAGCACTGAGCCCAAGGACCTCTGTATCTGAAAATGCAGCGGGACACAAGACAGTCTCTTCACCAAGGAGCTAAAAATGTCAGAGCTTGTGTTACCAGTGTCTTCTTGAACTCAGATGAATGTCACTGCACTCTGGTAATCCCTGCTTTAACCAAATATCAGACGGGATAACAGAGTCTCTTACACTGCTCGGGAGTGCACGGTGGAGAGGTTATCCACCCAGGAATGACCAGGACAGGGATCTTGAATTTCGTCGGTCACCTGTTGAGAACATCAGCACAAACCAAACAAAAACAGCCTTCAGTTGTTAATCGCATTGGTGACATAAAGATTTTCAGTGTTTTTCTCTACTCTCCCAAACATACTTAAAAAATGTAAACATTTTGTACTAAGTGTTCTGATTCTGTGGACTCTCTTATCCAATTATTTCTAATTCTCATCGTCTTTAATGCAGAATGGCTTGGTATTGGTAAGTTGACCATGTAAATGTTTTTACAGTTTTGACATGTGGTTATTTTGATATACCTAACAAAATTAACAAAAGTTATTAATGCTTGTTTCGCTTGAATATTTTGGTATTCTGCAAAGGAATGAGAACCAAGGAAAACTCAGACTCTCCTATGGACGGGCCGCCTTAGATCAATAGGCATATTTTTATTCAGAAAATTTTGTTTTTACTGAAATTAGTAAAAAAAGTTCTAGCCATGTGTCAAGATTAGGCTAATACTGTAAATCAGCACAAATTATGAAAATTACTGATAAAAAAGCATTTCTATTATTGTATGTAATCACCTTTGTCTCTTAGCTGAAGTTCCTTGCTGTTCCACTCCTGCTTTTGTAAGAGATAAGAAACTCAGTTTGAAGTCTTTGTCATGTGCTAAGTCAAGTTTTCCTTGGGCGATAAGTGAGGTTGTGCTGTATGTATCTTTAAACTTGGTCTACTTGTATCCTTCCACATTTTTGCCTAGAAAAATCTAGCCTACTACTATGTATAAGGATGTCAGGTCTTAATCAACTGTGGTGTCAGGCCTCTTTTAAACGTCATTCCCATCTCATCTAGATTTGCTCTTCCAGATTATCTATCAATCAACAAGTTGCATTCATGTTATTCAACTTTTCCATTCCTTTGTTTGAAGGGTGTTTGGTTAGGAGGCATATCTGAACCCTAAAATAGGCAAGGAGCACCAGACAGCTTCTGTTAACACCAACTCCTCCATCCCCAGGAAAACACCTCCCTGATTAGAGATGCTTCTGGATTCACAAATCTCTTTTTTTTTACACTTAACTAATTTTATTTAACTTGGGTGTCAATTTCACTGAGGGTTCAGTTATTTTGGCTGATAAGTGTTTTGATAGGAGAAGAGAGAAGAAAAGATTAATTTGGAAGTAAGGACTAGAGAGGCAGCTTCTTCCAGGAAGGCAATACTTCCCTGACGGTGTGAAGGGTCAGATTCAGCGGCAACCAGAGACCACGGAACCCTCTGCAGGTAGAAGAGATACTTGAAAGAGGAAGGACTAGAGAGTCAGGGCTCCCAGCAATGGGGGTTTGCCTTAAAATAACTATCTAAGTAGCCATGGCACTTCTGCAGAGTCAGGTCTCTTTTAAAGGTTGTTCCCATTTACTCTAGATTTGCTATTCCAGAATAATTTATGGTCATCAAAGTCAACACAGTCACTGCTTACCTATTTCCCGTCTTTGCCTTTGAGTGGAACAGGATGTTGCAGACAAGAGAAATAGGAAGGAAATAAAAATGCAATTCCTACTTTTGTATGACGTGACTCACACTTTCATTGGCTTCCTCTGATTTACTTCCCCCTGCATCTTCCTGGGCCTACTTTAAAAATGCCTTTCTCCTTCTTTCTAAAGTAATTTTCATAATTCTCTATGATATTCACGGCTCTCCTATTGTAGAAACACTTAAATCACTCCAAAATATCAGCTTACATATACAGTTTCTTGTAGGGCTCTACTGTTAGTAAAAATAGACTTCTGTGTTTGCTGAGAAGCTTTCCTGGGGAAATACTGATTGCTACATAGACCTGGTCGTAATAAATATTTTAGGTAACCCTGACTGGAAAAATAAAAAACACAAAAACCATCATCTTTTCATTCTTGTTTCAAATCTATGCATTTTTGTTTTACCTTAATTTTATGTTTCAAAGCACATTGTCTCCCACACTATACTCACATGCTCTGTCATTAATGGTGCGGTGTCCACAGAATATGTGTTGTTTGGTATTTCACTTTTGATAAAGAAGAATATGAAGGCACTGTAAAGAAAATAAATGTTAGTGGTATTTATCGTGAACCCTGGTTCATATCAAGGTGCTTGAATTTTAAGGAAAAACACAACTTAAGTCAAGTCCTGCAGACATGATGATGATGTCGCTCCAGGGGTCCTGCCCTCCCTCCCGACTGCCATTCTCCGTGGTGCCTCTCACTGTCCTGAACCACAGCAAGTTAAAAGCTAATCTCATAAGCTTTCCCCTCAATCAGGTCTTTCTCCTGATTTTCTTGTTTCAGTCAGTGTCTCCATCTTTCTTTTTATTCCTGCCTAACCCTGGAATTACATGGTAAATAATACAAATAAGAACTACCCTGAAATAATAGTTTTTACCTATTATGTTGGAAAAAAATCCCCAAGTTTAATGACACCTTCAGTTGGACAACTATAGGAGACAGGTACCTCTGATGGGCGTGCGGAAGCATGCGACTCCCATGGAGGAGACTGTGGGGTTATTTACCAAAACCACGGGTGTGTCCACTCCTGGCCTTACCAATACGTTCCAGAACCTATAACACAGGTGCCTCCACGCTCAGGCAAGGTGACCTTCATGGTAACACAATGGAATACTGTACAGCTATAAAAGAGATGCTTTTTATGCTCGGATAAACAAAGACCTAGAATCTATTTTAAGATATAAAAGCACACGCATAGCCTAATGACTTTTTCCCCTTTAGCATCTCTCGGAATGCACTGTCTCTCATGTCCAAAATCTTTGAATAAATATCTCACTTACTCTTGACTTTTGAACCATGCAAACATGTTAAAATATTAAATCAATGTAAGAAAACTCATGACTTTGATACACTTTTAACATTCATTTTTAGTACCTTTGTATGGTTCAAAAGTTACAACAATATATAATTTTTCCAGAGTACATATGTGACTGAAACAGTGTAGGTAGCTAAGTATAAAAAAGTGCTTATGATGTGCTATTTTTCACGTAAAAAGTAAATCTTTTCTAGATAGCTTCCTTAGTTCAATCTCTTACTTGCTTTAAAAAACTTGAATGGCTCCATAATAACTTTCACTGGAAATTTAACTTTCCTTTTTGATTTCCTTTGCTCTCTGCATTTCACCCAACTCATCACATAATTCCCCACATGGACTTCTATCTCTGACCGTCTCTAACTAGCAGGGCCCCCATCCACAGGTTGTCTCCCCTTAGACTGACCGGGAGAGATGCCTGGGAGGCATCTATGCAGAGACGTCTAGCCTGGTCTGGAGTGAGATGTAAGGACTGTGGGTGGCTCTGAGAAAGGTAATGGCTCGAATCAAAGATCTGGGTTTCCTCACAACACAAGTCTCCAGTGAATGCCAGTTAAGTGAGAAGAGAATGGAGAGTAAACTGAAGGATAATCCAGAACATTTCTTTTGTAGTAGGAAAGAGAATTTTTTATGAACTCTGACTCTTGAATCTTCATTAAAACATATCCAGAGTGTCCTGGACATTGTTTCTTGGTATCTGCCTCACTTCACCCATGGACATTCTCTTCTAACTATGGGTCTAGAGGACCAAACACAACATTTTTCTCAGACTGTACTAGCAGCGAGGTTTTGCCAATGAGAGGGATATATATGGGATTAAAAGGTGGGAGACACCATTTTGTTTTGGCGATGGCTCCAGAAATTTCTGCAGTAGCCAGTGCTCAGGGCAGAGGCAATTTTTTCAGTGGTGTTGGCCAGACTGTGCGCTCCAGGGTGTACAGTGGCATCACCTTCTTCCTGATCCTCTGGGCCTCACAATGCTTTTGTAAACAATCCCCTATGTTAAACCTTCCGCTATTTAAAAACACCTGGAGCAGTTTTGGTTGTAGAGACTGACTAAGAGTTAACCTTAGATATCATACAGGGAAAATGGAAGGCTAGAAATGATCTACCCAATCCTTTAAAAACTGAATTGTACAGTAGTAATAATTTCAATTTTAAAAAGAAGAGCAACATCTAAGCTAATGCAATCATATTCCAAGTTTCCTTATCCTAACCATGAAGCTCTAAGCTTATTCAATGGATGCTCTTCAGAACAAACTGATTGAACTGAGTTAAGATAATGAAATAAAAGGTTCCAGAAACTTCTTGCAGTAAAGAAGCATAGAAGGGAGTCAGGACCCAGTAGAAAAAGAGATCATTCCATTTTCCTGCCCCAGACAAAGCTCCAAATTAAGCAGTAGTCCCGGGGTCACCGATTAGTTTACCAATGAGTTGGACATGCACATCCAAAGGGGAAAAGTAATTGCACGTGAAATAGTTATTAATAAGAATAATGACTATCATAATTAAAATTACCCAACATGTAGAACAATAGCACTATACAAAGAACATATTTCATTTCATCCACAAAATATCTTATGAGGCTGATACAATTATTATTCCAAATTTATCCTCTGATGGCGAAACCAAAGCTTGGAGAAACTAAGTGATGTGTCCAAGGTCACACAGGTAGAGGTGATAAACATGAATGATCTGTAATTTTAGAGAATATCCATTTTCTAAAGAAAAAGAATATGGACTTCCGCCAAGATGGAGGTTTAAGGTGGATGTGCCTTGCCTCCTCTCACAACCAAGTTTAAGGACAACTAAATATTAGCATCAGAAAACACAACCAGAACACGGAAAACTGAACTTTTCGGAAGTCCGCAAACAACAAATTCTTCGGCCCGACCGGTAAGGGCGAAACCGGCGGCGGGTGAGGAGTTACAAAGGAGAACTCGATCGACCCGGGCGCGGGCGCGGAATCCAGACGCGCGAATCCAGTCGCACGGGTTCCAAACCCAGGATTGGACCTAGTGAGCAGCCCACCGGGTGAGCGACTACGGAGGAGTCAGCGGGGAGGCGGTGGTAGCGACTTGACTGTGGGTGCCCGGATTCGCGCAGGTGAGGGAGTGAGCAGTGGGCGGCAGCGGCGCCATTTTCCCCGCTCTGACCACGCCCCCACATACAGCGTCACAACCCAGCGACCTGGGACTCCAAGGCGCCGCTTCTCTCACTTAAAGGGCCAGAACAGACCAAAAATGTCGCAGGGGGACCTCAAAGTCCCGGAGATAAATCTAAGTGACGAAGAAATAGCAAATCTCTCAGACGCACAGTTTAAAACACTGGTCATCAGCTTCCTCATAGATCTGGTGGACTATAGCCACAAATTAGAGAAACATATGAAGGCTAAATTAAGGGAAATGAATGGAATTCCACAGGAAACCCATAGAGATGAAAAAAAAACTGGGACTCAACTCAATGGAGTGAACCAGAAGGAAGAAAAAAATGATCAATCAGAAAGGAATGAAGAAATAATAATTCAGAAAAATGAGGAGAAGCTTAGGAACTTCCAGGACATCTATAAACGCTCCAATATCCGAATTATAGGGGTACCAGAAGGGGGAAAGACACAACCACCAGTGGAAAAATTATTTGAACAAATAATAAAAGAAAATTTCCCCAATCTGGCAAAGGAAACAGACTTCCAAGAAATCCAAGAAGCCCAGAGAGTACCAAAAAAGTTGGACTCAAGAAGAAACACACCAAGGCATATAATAATTACATTAGCCAAAATTAAAACGAAGGAGAGAATCCTGGAAGCAGCAAGAGCTAAGGGGACAATCACCTACAAAGGAGTCCCCATCAGGCTGTCAGCTTCTCAAAAGAGACCTTACAGGCAAGAAGGGGCTGGAAAGAAATATTCCAAGTCATGAAAACTAAAGACCTACAACCAAGATTGCTCTACCCAGCAAAACTTTCATTTAGAACGGAAGGACAGATAAGGTGCTTCTCAGATAAGATCAAATTCAAGGAGTTCATCATCACCAAGCCCTTATTATATGAAATGTTAAAGGGACTTATCTAAGAAAAAGAAGTTAAAGAAACATGAACAGTGAAAGGACAACAAGCTCACAGTTATTAACAACCACACCTAAAACGAAAGCAAACTAAAAGGACAGCTAGATCAGGAGTGGAAACATAGAAATGAAGATCTCAAGGAGGGTTAGCAACAGGGGTGTAGGAGGAGGAGAAGGGGGGAGAAGGTACAGAAAATAAGTAGCATAGACAGTAGATAGAAAATAGATGGGGGGGGCAAGAATAGCATGGGAAATACAGAACCTAAAGGACTTGAGACACATGGACATAAGCTAAAGGGGGGGTAATGGGGGGGTTGGGGGGCAGGGTGGAGGGGAATGAAAGGGGGAATAGAACAACTGTAACAGCATAAACAATTCAAAAAAAATAAATAAATTTATTTAATAAAAAAAAAGAAAAAGAATATGGAGCAAAAGCATGCCTGGTGAGTGGGTAAATTGGTCTTAAATCACCATTATATCAAAACTACAGCATGCTAACATTACAATTTCTGGCGTAAAGAAATTGTTTTTGAGAGAGCTACTCAAAGCTAGAATGCTGTGTGAATTGTACAAAATACATAATGTTGCCTCTAACGAAAAATGTCAGGAATCTGCTATTTTAGAATAATCTATGTCATTTCTTCTCCAGTTGGCCTGAAAACACTCTCTAAGGCAACATTTCAATGACAAAGATAGTGCTCCTGAGTGTGGCTGGGGAAAAGTCATCATTGGAGGGGGAAGGGAAATAGAGTGCTCTTTCCCCGAAGAATAAAAAAGTACTAAAATTTTTCCAGGCAGTGCTATCCATTATGTGAAGGACTGACGGGGAATATAAATGCGGTCTAGAGAGGAAAGAGGACGGAATGTAAGGTGACCTAATTTCTGTTAAAGTCTCACTGACTGAACACTGCCATAGGGAGATGCAGAGTCACTTTCATCCTCATTCATATAGAGCATACAACTAGACACAGATATACCTAAAAAACACTTAACACAGGGTGTGTGTTAGCACAGGGAATAGATCTGGTTACCCAACTGGGTTAAGGAGAGTCAGGTGAGGTGACAGGGAAGTGTCAGCTGGGCGGCACAGAGTGAGTTAGAATAAGAGGAGAGAAACAGTGGCTATTCCGGGGGCCTCAGGAAGCCAGCACGACACTTTTGTACATGCCATTGTTCAGTTTGAAGATACTTGAACGTGCTGTTTCATTCTGTTTTTTGATCCACGTGTTACAATTTTCTAAATATTACAGATAATGGAGGTGAGCTCAAAAAGAGCATTTTCCCCGGGTCTCAGAGCTTTCGAGACCCAAGGCTTGGACTCCTGACCCCAGAACTGGTGCTTTCTGTCCTCTCAAGCCAAGTCTGTCCATGTAAATGAAGAATCTGAGGAAAATCGAGTCAATTTGTGAAATTGCAGATTTACAAAATGTAAACACATCAAAATACTTAAAAAGCACTCTGTACGTTTCAAAGAACAATAAAGGCATTAGAACCAGCTGTGCACCTTACTACCGAGAGCCCAGCTCCGAAGTAATTGAGCAGTGGTTTTGGTACTTCTTCCGCATCCATTCCAAACCAGCCAAACCTGGAAATTAAATCACATCAGGAGATACTGCTGAAAATGGGTTCATTATAGTGTTTAAGGGCATGAAATCAGGTTCACATCCCAGGTTCCTCATTTACTGTGACTTGGATAAGTTATCTTCCCTGTGCCTCAGTTTCCCATCTTTAAATGGGGGTATTATACCTGCCATATAGATTTCTTATGGAGGTTAAATGAGTTAGTACATGTTAGTACATGTAAAAAGTACCAGTGCCAGTATCCCCTTCTTACTAAGACTAAGAAAGAAGGAAGAAAAAAATAGATTAAGTGGGTAATTGAATGCTAATTGGCTGGTTGCTGTTTTGTGTAGTATTTGAAATAGCCTTGTAAATACCGCTTGTTAAAGACTCCCATTCTCTGGCATCACCTTAAATTCCTTTTATTTCCCACCTTGACATCATAGTGATCATTACCAACAATCACTGTGAAACACCCAGGAGCAAGAGAAAAGGAGGAAAGGAGAAAATAGTAAACATAAAAAGCGGGGTGGGGAATGGGGACAGGACAGGAAGGAAGGAATTGCAGGTTAGTGTGTTTGTTTATTACTGAAGTTGTTAGAGTGCTTAAGTGGGAAGACCAGATCAGAATGGAAGGTCAGAGTGATGATACTCCCCTTGTATTCATTTCCCGCCCTCTACTTGAATGTTAGTCTTAGTGCTGACCGAGAGCAGTGCAGTGAGGGCCCGCAGACTCCCTGGGACCAGGAGGCCGGCTCTGCAGCTGCCCTGGGCCACAGCCTCGCCTTTAGGCAGATATGGCTGTTGAGCAATTGCAGTGTGGTTACCACTGAGGAACTGAGTGTTTAATTTTATCACATTTTAATTATTTTAATTATTTTGGCTTTTTATTTTTTATTTATTTTAAATTTAAACACAATTTCAACATTAAAAATTTTGGGGTGACATGGGTTCATAAAATGATATCGGTTTCAAGTGTGCAGTTCTATGATACATCATCTGTATACTGCATTGTGTTTACCACCCAAAGTCAAGTCTTCTGTCTCCATACACTTGACCCTCTTTACCCTTCCCAGTACCCTCCCTTTGGTAGCCACCATACTGTTGTAAATTTAAATATAAGTGGCCACATGAGGCTTGTGGTGACTGTATTGGACAGCCCAGCTCTAGAACTGGAGTTGGCAAACTCTTCCTTTAAGGACCAGAGAGTAAATATTTTAGGCTTTGTGAGCTGGATGGGGTCTTGCAACTACACAGCTCTGTCACTGTAGTCTAACAGCAGCCAGGGACAATACGGAGATGGAGCAGTGCGGCTGTGCTCCAACAACACCTTCTTTACAAACAAGTCTGGGATACCGGGCCCAGGTCTGCTGCCCCTGGCCCAGACTGTAGAGGGGAGAATATATATTTCAGAACTAGAAGTCACGGGCTGAATCCTGGCTTATTAGCTCTGTGACCTTCAGCAAGTAATTCAACCTCTTATCTTAAGCACTTATAAGATAGTGCTTACCTCGTATATTCATGAAAATAAGATAAGAATGATGCGTACAACATGTCCAACAAATTGTCACATAATGGTAAGAAAAGATAAACACTCTCTTTTTCTCTCCCTACTTTTTTCCATAGAGATAATTCTTTACTATATCTTGATCAAATGTCTAGATTGCTTCTTTAGAACTTAGGATAAATAATAATTAAAGGTACCATATTTTATGCATGTATCTTAGTTGCAATCCTTGAAAGGATAAGAACCATATACTGTTCCTCTTATTTTGACCAATCCCTAACGGTAGCCTTACATACAGTGTGAACTCAGAGAATCTTAGCCAGAATAGTTAGCTTTGTGTTACCTTGAGCTTGCCCAACCAGTTAAGGCATTAAATGATCCCCAGATTAAGAGTCCAAGGCCTAAACCAATGGTTTTGATAATTGGGACAACAGCAATGTTCCCTGTAGATGTGACATATAGAAGAAAAATATTATTTTCAGTGTAGGAAATACATTTATAAATTGAATTAATTTTTATTTTAACTCCAACTGAAACTAATGGGACTTGACCAAATTTAGTAAGCACAATTCCTCATTTTTAGATAAAATAACCACACGTTTGCATTAAACTCATAATTAGAATTGCTAAAAAAATTAGGCTCAGAGCAAAATTATGCAGCTGCCCCCTCCCCCAAAAAGTTGAACAGCTCCTTGCCCAACTGCACCGATATTCCTCAACCTTAACATAGGTCTCTGTTCTCTGAGGTTTTGCAGTAGCCATCGATGATTCAATTAGTAGTGATCATCCTCTTAGACTTGAACCAGGGCCAACCACTGTCTTTGGCCCACTATGACCCCAGGTTTCGCTCTTCTATCCTGACTTGTGCTCTGTATTTCAGCATTTATTGCTTGGTTCTCTTGAGGGTCACTCAGGCCAAAACCATGATTTTTTTTTTTTATAGTTCTTAGCCCCTCAGCAGTCTGGCTTCGGTACAGAAATGTTTTCTGGGGAGCTTTCCTCTCCTGACTTCCAAGATGACCTCACCTTCTGACTCCCTGCTGTTCCTCTCTTTAGCTCTTTCTCTCTAGATTTAGGTACCTACTAAGCATTTTCCCTAAAACAGGTTCCCCCTCTTGCTATATTGTACTTTGTATACTTGGCTAATTTTATGATTTCAGCTATCAACTAGAGAAACATGCTCCTAGGTACAAAGGTCTAGTCTGAACCTTCTCTGTAATTTTATGCTTCAAACTTTCAATAAGAGATCCCCAGCCAGAGGTTTCTCCACTAAGGCAACATCAGGGACTTCAAACTCAGATGGTCCCGAACTGAACTCATCATTATCCCTTTCAGACAGGTTCTTTTCCACACTTTCCTCATCTCATCACTGATACCACCAAACTCCTAATCACCTACATTGAAATCCCTACACCATCATAGGCTCCTCTTATGTCTACTATCCACATCCAGTCAATTTCTATAACCTGGAGCATTCACATCTGCAACATGTTTAAAATTAGACCCTCCCTCAATTAACGTCCAGTGGAACCTGCTGGGCAAATATAAATACTGCGGGTGGTTATCAAGATCTGCAAGATGAATGAATGCTTTTTTTGTTCCTCTATTTCAATCAGACATGATAAACACAATCACACTAAGGTATAAATAAAAGATAATAATTTAAACGCTAGGGGAAATTTAAAAGTTAACTTTTTTGTCCTCCAACTCATGAACTTCACTAAATCATTTATTCAAATTGAGTGCCCAATAAATTTTTGACATTTTAAAATGTATTTGCTTTTAATCACATTACCTTTAAAGAGCCTTGATACTTCTCTTTGCTAAAGAGAAGAAAGTTCACTAGGGGGTTACTTATAAATTCTTGATTGGCTAAGCAAAAGCATAAATTCAGTTATATAATTTCAGGTATTGATAAGGCAACAGAGGGAAGTTTTCTGTTTGCTCTTGTATTTTTGTCAGTGCTTTTGAAATAATGCATCTGTGCCTGCCCACTTTAACCACAAGTCCTAAAAACAAGTTATACAGAGTATTATTTAATGAATATTTTCTGATAAACATGCTAGAGGAAGAAAGGCCAGAGCACTTGAACTCATATATGAGTTATGTTCGAACAGATAGAGAGCAACTGTAATATGTTTGCTGTAATTTTCTTTCAGGGACCAGGAAAGGTACCATTAAGCGGAGTCACAAAGTGCACCAAAAGTATTCATGGAACACTGAAATGAGAGAAACTAAATTGTCAATTTCTAGTATCTATGACCACAGACTATTCAGAATTGCTATTTGTGCCATTTCCTTTTATTATGAACCAGAGTTATTTTTTAATCACAGAATAAATTGATTAAAGTATTAAATGATAAGTTATATCATACTTTACCTGTTGCCCAAATACAGCCCCCAACCATTGCAAAAGGCCAAAACTTAGGGCAACGTAATATCAGGTTGGCCACCAAGGCAACCAACCAAATGGCAGCACAAAGTACCCACTGGAGAAACATTCCTGGAAATAAAAGAAATCGGTGTCAGTGGTTCAAACTGATTTGAGTGGATTAATGCTTAGGAATATCAATTTATCAAATGCCTGTATGCCAGGAACTTTGCACATTTAATATAATTCTGACAATTACCGTCCATCATAATTAACTCTAGTCCAAAGACAGAAAATGAATCTGAGATGAAGCAACTTCTCCAAACAGCTAGCAGTCTGCAGAACTGGAATTTAAGCCTAGATAGTTTGACTCTAAAGCTTACTAAGCAGTGCATTCCTGCCTAACACCTTCTCCCACCTATTAGACAAATCAAAGATTTTCTACCAAAGAGTACTGGCAAGACCGAGTCTCTGTATTTGTATTCAGATGCCACACCTTGTGCTCTCCATCACCAAAAACATGGCATGAAGAACTTCAGAATCACACAACAGTGATTTAAACCTTTGGGGATCATTTATGCCACCTCTGTGAAAAAAATAAAGTCATTTAGGGTCACACATAGACCTCACACCGTTAGATGCCTGTGATGAGCCAGATGTTGCAGACCTGAGAATTAGCCTTCTAGGTCAGGGCAACTCTCCTTCCTACGCTCTGGGTTGCCATTTGCCAGTTATCTGAACATCACGTGGTGATGTGCAATATATCTGTACCTTTGTTAGGCTTGTGCACCAACAAAGGCTGGGGGTGGAGGGATTGGGCGAAAAGGAAAAAGGACTCATGGACATGGACGATAGTGTGGTGATAGCAGGGGGGTAGAGGGGGCATGTACGGTAATGGGAAAAATACAATAAAAAATAAAGGGATAAAGAAAACGTCGACATTCAAAGAAATACTAAGGCAGTGACAACTCAATGCAGCACTTCTGGCTCTAACTTTGGAAGATGCTCGCCTGTTTCTGTGGAGCAAAATAAAAATGGCTGTTACACCCTCAGACAAAAAAATGTAGGATCATAAAGATGAAAGGGAACATCGTTTTACAAGTTCTTCATTTTATAAGTAGGAACTGAGACCAAAAGGGCTGATGAGGCTTGCCCAAGGTCACACAGCTGAGGAACACCTAAAAGCCAGGTTCTCTATCCCTTAGTACAGTTTATGTTCCTCTTTTGGTAGTTTCCATTCCTTTTGTAACTCCAAAGGAAAAGAAAGGCTGTAGAGGAGAGAGTTGTAATTCTTCGGTCTAAGTTACATCAAGACATCAGGAACTGGGGAGACAACGCATCCGTTTCCTAACAGCTATTCACCGTAACATGTCCAATCCCTTTTCCTGGCGTTAATATAAAAGGCAGGTAGATAGAAAGAACTGTTGCTTCTTCCCTAAAATGCACATTACAGTCAGTTCCACGACAATGTGATGTCGTAGTCCTAAAAATCACTGCACTATGTAAAGTCATGCAGTAAAAACCACAGAGCTTATGGGGAAATTGGGACTGGGGTACAACACAAAAACTCCATTAACAACATGTTAGAAAAAAAGATCAGAATCTAATAAAAATGATGGTACAGTTTTATCGCACTGGTTAAGTAGTTAAGAAATTCACAAGTTCTACAATAAATGCGGCTCTATAACATGAAAAGACCTGAAGTTTGCTTATGAAAGTGGGCATCAAAAGTGTTGTAGCTTGTGAGCTCCTGTGAAGGTGGTGGATGGAAGGTTCCAAGACCAGACGAGGAAGGCTGTGGGGCAGTGAGACCTCAGGGACATTTACGGGGGGTGTGTGTGAGCACATTTTATGGATGACTGCACATCTTTATCTATCTGGATGCAGTTTTCCGTGTTCACCCAGTGTCTGGTCAGAGTTGAAACTGTACTTAGGGAAACATAAATTTTGTGTTATACTCAAATTGTCTTCTGTTCTATCAATTGCTTTGGAAATTGGTGTTTTCAAAAAAAGTGTTATTAGTAGAATGGCTTCATTCTTTTGTAAACATAACAGATACAGCCAAAAATCTTTCCTGACTATCCATCCTAGCTTCACCATGAAACAGTCTTAAGGTTGTCCTATAATGACTAACTCTCAGATAAATTGGCTTGGCATTATCAAATGATTTATTTTAAGCTCCATTCATTTGGCACCCGGTTCAACAGAATTTACTTTTGTAGCCATCATTTTTCAGAGATCCAAATAAAGAACTGTATTTAAAAATAACTTAAGGTTAACAATGAAGAAAAAGTAATCACCATCACCAGTATTGTATTTTTTAAGTGGCACATAGTTTGAGCCAAACAAAAGGATGGCTGCGGAGGAGGAGATGAAGCCGGTGGTTAGGTCTGTTCCATTGTCGCTCATGGTTCCAGTTCTGCCTGAGAGTGCACTGCTCCACTCTAGACTTGATGGGATTTTCAAGAGTTTCTGAAATTTTAAAAAAAGATGAAAGGATGAACAAGTGAATCTGTGAACAAACTGTGATCAATATGTGATATTTATTGAGTTGTTCAAAAGTATACTAAGATGATTTCTTCCAGATAAAGCATTAGGACATTACAAAATAGTGGTATGTCATATTCCATGTTCATTTATTATTATTATTATTTTTTTTACCAAAAAACTTTGTGATTTCTAATCTACAATTACAAAAAAACTTTGTCTTCAGGGCTGGAAAGCCTCACTTCTTCTAAGGTCTAGAAACAGTTTTATTACAGTATAAAAAATTTGGTGTATGTAGACAGGTATAATGAAAAGATCTGTGGACCAGGAGTCTTTTTATTTAAGGTGGATGTTGCGATAATCAAATGAGACCGTGTGCGTGAAGACTTTTAGAACTATCAGAGCTGTAACAAGCAAAACTTTTTGTTGTACTTCCAACATGAACTTCTAGGCACATTTAGGTTGAATTGCTGCCATATGCTCAGGATCCCCTAGAGATAAATGTACTTTTTTCATCATTAGTACCATAGTGTGTATTATTTTAAATACTTCACAAAAATCCTCATTATGACTGTTTAAAGAACTCAACAGATAGAAGAAATTCCCAGAGATCTCTTCAAGAATCTCCTAAATCTGTTCAAAATTTAGATTCTTGAAAAATCCCTTCAGGAACATCCTGAAGTGGAAGTTCAGCAGTGGTGTGTTGCAGCATACCATCAGTCTGCCTGCGGTAGAGAGAGAGGCAGCTAGCTAGGTGGCCCTCTATGTCATCTGGTAGCCACTAGCCACAGGAGGTCAACTACATTTCATTTACATTCATTACAATTAAGTAAAAGAAAAAAATGCAGTTCCTCAAATGGTTGGAACTCATTTTAAGCGCTCAACAGCCACATAGAGCCAGCAGCTACTCTGCTGGACTGTGCGGATGGAGATCACTTCCCTCACTGCAGAAAGTTCTGTTGGACAGTACTGCTTGGCTCAAAAGTTCTGGTTCCCCTAGAATAAAAGACCTAAGACCACAAGTAGCCAGGAATCAGGTATTTTTCATAAGATAACATTTGGAAAAGGCTACTAAACATAATTCACTTTTTTATTTGTGCAAGCTACATGAGAAAAAAAACACTAAAGAGACATTTAATTACAGGAAGAAACCAGAGTCTTCCCACAATACCATCTTGAATTTATGTTTTGCACACTGACCTTCTGGTTCACTTCTCCATGTAAACCTTTTGAAATGGAATTGAGGATAATCTAGTCTTTTTAAAATTTTCCCTCCAAACTTAATGTCATAGTGATAAGTTCTTTTGGGTATGTATTAAATAAAGTACATCTGAAATCACATTTTCTTGTTATTTTACAATGATAAGCATTTACTTTAAAGGTGTTTCATTGTTGCTGGTGCTGTCCTTTATGTGTTCCTACAGACAACGTTAAATATAAAACTATGTACAATACATGTATACATGTTCTCTGGCATTATTATGGATAATTTGATGGAAAACAAGGATAACTTCAAAAGTGCTGAATTAATTTTAGTAAGAATAATATCTGTTTGAAATTATGTGTACTTTCTTAAAAAACAAGACAAAACCACCACAACAAAACTGCCAGTAAGACAGCATCCACCATGGGGCTGGAGTTGAGGAAGGGACAGGGAGGGTTATTCAAACACAGACACAGTCACGCCCTTTCAAGAAAAATGAGTTAAGCAGAAAGAAAGTTTTAGTCCTGCAATGGCTTACATAAGCAGGCAGGTGAAATTTGCTAAGATATAGCAAGAGGTCACAGGGGTAGGAAGTGCCTGGGAAGGATATCACGGGACCGAAGAGACACAGAATTAAGTGTTAGCTAAAAAACCAATTAAAAAAAATGGAATTCTATGCAGCAGAGAGAAAGAAAGAGCTCCTACCCTTTGCAACAACATGGATGGAACTGGAAAGCATTATGCTGAGTGAAATAGGCCAGGGGTTGAAAGACAAATACCTTATGATCTCACCTTTAACAGGAAGCTAAATAACAAAATAAACAAGCAAGCAGAATAAAAACAAAGACACTGAAATAGAGAACAAGGGGACAGTGACCAGAGGGGAGAGGGAATGGAAATTAAGGGGAAAAAGGGGGAGGGATTTGGAGGAATCCAAAGTATAAAGGACACAGGGACGAGAACTAAGGAGGGTGGAAATGGGAGGGAGGTGGGGAGCACAGGGCGGGGGAGGCTGGGATGGGAGAAATAGACAAAAAAAACTGTACTTGAAAAATAAGTAAATAAAAATTAAAAAAGAAATGTTACTAAAAATAAGCAAAATGAAACAAAACCTTCATAAGCATATTGACAGGAGAATGTCAAAACTTCAAAAGTAGCAAATTGTTTTAGTGAAAAGATGGCTCCATAAAGAATATTGACAGCCAGAACCTCCCAGATTTCACCCCCTGAAAGAGTAATTTGCTCATCAGGGTGCATGACCTGCATTTTGACTGCTGATCAAACATTAATCAGTGTTACTTCACTTAAAGTTATTTCCTGCAGATAAATGAAGTTTATTGCACACAGCTCTGGTACATTTTAGAAAGCCTGTGATGTAATTTCAGTGTGGGTTGGCAATACTGCTCTAAGGAAGAGTTCACCTCTTTCTAAATCAATGACATTTTTGTGGAAAAGGAAAGCAGTATCGCTTTGTAAATAAACTTTAATTTAATCTACTTTGAAGTAGTTTTTAATGTTTACTTTTACGTGCCCACTGGTATTTTATTGAATGATATTTATACACTTTTTTCTAGTACTTTAAAACTATTTTATTAGTAGATACTTTTCCTCTAAATTTCTCCTAGCTATTTAAACTTCTCTGCAGGCTTTTGTGTGTGTGTGTGTGTTTGCTGTGTTCTGATCAATACTGTTATTCCACTGCAGGGATTTCGGTTTTAGTTTCATGTTCATTTCCTCAAATCTTCTGGCAACCTCTGCCAGTGTCTTGGCTAAAATTAGCCGTGCTCTAACGTACTTATTCTGAGCCTTGATTTTTTTCTTTTTAATTACTATCATGTTTTGAAAAATCATGAGACACTCCCCTGCCAAGTTACGTGGGTTTACTTCCAGTTGCTGTACTCACTGTGCTCACCGGTCAGATCCGCCTCCACCACGCTGCTGTGCCGAGCCTGCTCTGTTCTTCCTTCTGCCGCCCAGGCACCTCGCCAGCCTCAGCCTCCACTTCCTTCTCCGACAGTTACTTGTGTGTGTGTTGGGGGGTGGGGTGGGCAGGGAGGGGGTGGAGAAGGACTCTTGCAACCAAGACCCTGAGACCTTGTGCCCTGGGCTCTCCCAGCTACCAGGCCAGCCTTCACTTCCTGCAGGAACAAGGACATACACACCCTGCTGGTGGAGGGGAAGGCTCTATCACAGGAGCTCCGAAGGTCTGGCCTGGGAGTGGTAGGATGGGGAACACCTTCCTTCATCTTCTGTGCGGGAGTGCATGGTCACGTGTGTCATGTGACTTCCGTGACTCTGACGGGGGTCGTCAGACCCTTGTCAATCTGCCAGTAAGTTAGAAAGGCTTTTGTTCATTTGGAGAGGTGATTTTTCAGGGAACTCTGACCATGTCACCTTCTCTAAACATCACAGCACTAGGTAGTATTTGTACTATTTATGGATAAAACCAAAGACCAAGGAAATTTCACACAGTTGTGAGAGATTATCTAAGATGATTTTTTTCCCAGTGTTAAGAAATTCATCTGAATCACTAAATGTCACTGACATCTCTTGTGACATCACAAGGTTTTACTTGTAATCACTAGGCTTTTATAAATGCACCTGAACAAGTCTCCTCGCATTTATCTAATTTGCACTGAGTGCCACATGAGAACTGTATAGGCATCTCATGGTTGCCTGCACATTACAATCGCTGGAGGAGGGATTTATTTATTTATTTATTTATTTATTTATTTATTTATTTATTGGTTTTAAAAATACTGATACCTGGACCCCACACCAGAATCTGGAGGGGTGTGGCTCAAGAATCATTTTCTTTTAAGTATCGTCCATGAGAATCACATTGTACGTCAATAGTTGTCAAATTATATTGATAGTAAGAATCAATTTATTGAGGGGGCATGGGTTAAAATGTAGATTCCTGGTGTTTTTATTTAGATTTTAAGAAACATTTCTCTAGTTTCTCACTCTCTGATATGTAGACACAGACTGCATATGACTATTAAATTTATATGAGGATTAAAAATTCAGTAGTTCACTTGTACTGGACACTTTTCGAGTGCTCCATAGCTACGATGCAGATTTTAGAATACTTTGGTCATCACAGAGAGTTCTGTTGAACAGCTGTGTTCTAGACTGTTAGCTCTGGGAGTGTATCCGTGGCCTATACAGGGGGCTACCCTCCATGTAGGTTCCAGAATGGCAAGGGACACAGATAAGACCAAGTTCAGAAAGGGGAAGTGCTGGGCTCTCTTCTAGTCTGAGAGTTCAAAGAGGGTCTCTCTGAGGAAGTGGCCTTTAACTGAGGCAATCCAGTGGTTAGTAATGGTTGTGGACTTACAAGTAGAAAACTTAAGGACTGTCCAAAGAGGAGGTATCCTGGAAGGAAGTCCTGCTTAAACATTATTCACATTTATAAACTATAGTGTATGATAAATAAAAGAAGAGGAATAGTACCATGTCCTTTCAAGAATCAAGCTAAGGCTTTTCATGTAAGGGAAGGGATTAAGAAGCTCAGAGAAATTTGAAGTTCCCCTTTCCATACATATATATTTACAGATACACACACATATTTATAGATACACACACACACATATTTACAGATACGCACACATACTCTCTCTCTCCTGGAAAATATAGGGCCTAGATACAATTGTTTATCTTTTTTTATTAAAAGAGACTTCTGTGATTGTGTGGTTTGTTCTTGCTTCAGATTCACATTGAGAAACTGAGATTCCCATTGTAAATTCCCTAAAATCTAAAAGTGAGTTGGGAGCTAAGTCAGCCTTGATGATATAACAGAATATTTCAGTTCAGTACTTTCCACATCATGCCACAGAGCCAGACCAAATATAGGTGGTCTGCTGCTTAAGCTGAAATTTTTCTTTCAAATTGTTCATTCACACTAATGACTAAACATAAAAATCTGTATTGAAAGACTCTTCACAAGTAGATCAAGGTTAGTTTCACCTCAGTTTTCTTGTATATAAAATATTAATAATATGTATCTCTCACCATTTTGTAGTCAAAAGATATATGTAAAATATTGTTAGGACTTTTGGTTTTGGCACTAATATTTAAAGATCTTCTAAGTCATCACTGCTGTCATCACAGTAAGAAAAAAACAAACAAATTGAAAATCAACAATTCTTATCACTGCTCCCAGAGAATTGAGGTCACAGGACAAATCATTGTCCTGAACACTGAATGAATGTCACAGGTGAATGCAGAGAATCACAGCTTACTGGGAGCAGAAGCCACTGGAGCCAGCAACGAGGGGTAGAGAGCACTTTAACAGTCATTGGGAAGCTGCTAGAAACTGATGAGGACTAAATGAAGCATTGAAAACCTGGGGAGGCAGGACCCAATGTCAGGGGAGTATTCAGACTTTAGTGGGTTTTACCTTCAGGAGCCATTTGAGGTTCTCTCAGTGAAGATCAAACAAAAATCCCCTCTTGCTTCTGGCAAGGGCAGGGAAAGAACAATCACTTTGAAATACACCCAGCCTTCAGTTCCCTAAAACGAAGTCTAGCGCCCAGGGGAAACTTCTTTGTGAAAGTGTTTTCTGACCAAGAGTTAAAATTAGACAACTTGAGCCCCTTCTTGCCTTTCTAGCTGGCATGGTTAAGAAACTCTTTGGAAGGTCAGGGCCCACTAATTCTAGCTCACTAAAAATGGAGATTTAATCATAAAATTCCCCAGTACTTTATGACCATCATAAAGATGCTCCAGAATAATAAGTGTGGATTACAAAGGAGAGATCTGCAAGACACACTATTTAAGGAGTTTCTAAGAAAACCCTAAGAAGAGGAGACAAAAGGACTTGAAAGGAAACTGAAGTCTCTGCCGCCTACAGCCAGAGCAAACATTTGGACACAGCCAACCTCCTCGCCAGATTAACATAAAACCTCACACTAGAGGCCTATTTATCTTAGCTCCTATTATCCAATAGATCATGTCTGGCTTTCAACAAAAAATTACAAAGTGTGCTAAAAGGCAAGAAAAAATTACAGTCCGAAGAGATAAAGCAAGATTAAAACCAGACTCAGATATGGAAGATATTTTATAATTATTGAACTGGGAGTTTTAAGAATTTTAACATGCCTAAGAGCTCTGTTGGAAAATGGGGACACTATGCAAGAACAGATGTGAAATATTAACAGAAAGATGAAAACTCTAAGAATCAAAAGAAAATGCTGGAACCCCCAAAACACTGCACCAGAAATGAAGAATACCTTTCACAGCTGAGGTATAGTCAGTGAGCTTGAAGGTATGACAATAAGAACTTCTAAATTTAAATATAGAGAGAGACTTCCGCCAAGATGGAGGCATAGGTGGAGACGCCATGCTTCCTCACACAACCAAGTTTAGAGACATTTAAATAATAGCAACAGAAAACACAGCCAGAACACAGAAAATTGAACTTTTCGGAAGTATGACAACAACAAATTCTTCAGCCTGACCGGTAAGAGGGGCGAAACCAGCAGCTGGCAGGGCGGGGTAGCACAGGAAAACTCAGTCAGACGGACTCAGGCGCGCGGAATCCAGGCGCAGGGTTGGACCCTGTGGGCAACTCAGCAAGCAATCGCGGGGAAACAGCGAGGGAGCAGGGCTGCGGGTTGACTGTGGTCGCGCATTCGTGTGTGGATAGACAAGTGAGGGAGTGGGCGATTGGACGAAAGCCAGCAGCCCCAGCGGGCAAGCGGCGGCGGAGGGCACCGCCATTTCCCCACTCTGACCACGCCTCCACATACAGCGTCACAACCCAGCGACCTGGGAGTCCCAGGCTCCACTCCTCACACTTAAAGGGCTCGAATAGACCAAAAATGGCTCAAGAAGATCTCAAAGCCCCAGAGCCTATAAATCTAAGTGATGAAGAAATAGCAAAACTCTCAGACACACAGTTTAAAACACTGGTGATCAGGATGCTCACAGAACTGGTTGATTATAGCCACAAATTAGACAAACATATGAAGGCGAAACTAATTGAAATGAATGGAATTGCACAGGAAATCAATAGCGATGAAAAGGAAACTGGGACTCAAATCAATGGAGTGGACCAGAAGAAAGCAAATAATGGTCAAACAGAAAAGAGTGAAGAAGCAAGAATTCAAAAAACTGAGGAGAGTCTTAGGAACCTCCAGGACATCTTTAAATGCTCCAACATCCAAATTATAGGGGTACCAGAAGGGGGAAAGGCACAGCCACCAGTGGAAAACTTATTTGAACAAATAATAAAGGAGAATTTCCCCAATCTGGCAAAGGAAATAGACTTCCAGGAAATCCAGGAAGCTCAGAGAGTACCAAAGAAGTTGGACCCAAGAAGGAACACACCAAGGCACATCATCATTATATTAGCCAAGATTCAAATGAAGGGGAGAATCCTAGAAGCAGCAAGAGCTAAGGGGACAGTCACCTACAAAGGAGTTCCCATGAGACTGTCAGCTGATTTCTCAAAAGAGACCTTACAGGCAAGAAGGGGCTGGAAAGAGGTATTCCAAGTCATGAAATCCAAAGACCTACAACCAAGATTGCTCTATCCAGCAAAACTTTCATTTAGAATGGAAGGACAGATAAAGTGCTTCTCAGATAAGATCAAATCCAAGGAGTTCATCTTCACCAAGCCCTTATTATATGAAATGTTAAAGGGACTTATCTAAGAAAAAAAAGTTAAAAAAACATGAACAGTGAAAGGACAACAAACTCACAGTTATTAACAACCATACTTAAAACAAAAGCAAACTAAAAGGATGGCTAGATCAGGAGTGGAAACATAGAAATGAAGATCATGTGGAGGGTTAGCAACAGAGGAGTGGGAGGAGGAGAAGGGTGGAGAAGGTACAGAATATAAGTAGCATAGACAGTAGATAGAAAATAGGTGGGGGGGCAAGAATAGTATGGGAAATATAGAATCTAAAGAACTTGAGACACATGGTCATAAACTAATGGGGGGTAATGGTGGGGATGGGGGGTAGGGTGGAGGGGAATGAAGGGGGGAATAGAACAACTGTAACAGCATAATCAATAAAAAATAAATTAAAAAAATAAAAATAAATAAATATAGAGAGAAAGCAATTCAAATGATTTGCTTTCATTTGAAAGCAAATGAAATGGAATATTCAAGAATTATGGAAAACATATAAAAAATGTAACCTATAGGTAATAAGAATATTGCAAAAAAAAGAAGAAATATTTGAACTAATAATGGCTGAGAATTTTTTAAAGTTAATGACATACCAAACCAGTTACAGAAAGTCAGAGAACACCAAACAGGATTAAAAAAATCGACTTGAAGGCCTATCATATTCAAATGGTGGGCACACTATATGGTAGTCATATTATGTATCATAGAAATATACACTTGAGACCTATGTGATCTTTTTGACCAATGTCATTCCAATAAGTTTAATTTCAAATTTTTCAAAAAAAATCAAACAATGACAAAATATTAAAAGAAGCCAGAGGGGAAAGGGCACGTTACCTATAGGAGAGCAGGAAGAAGAATTACATCAGACTTCTCTTGGGGAACAATGCAAGCAAGGGAGAATGGAAAGAAATTAATTTAAAGTGTTGAAAGAAAACCCACCCAGTTAGAATTCTACATCCAGTACAATTAACTTTTGAAAGTGGAGGGGAAATAAAAACTTCTCAGACAAACAAAACTGAGGGAAGTTTTCACTGGCAGACCTTCCTTGGAAGAAAGAAGTTCTTCACAGAGAAATAAAATTATATAGGTCAGAAACTTGGATCTGCACAAAGAAAAGAACAGTAGAATAGAATAAATGAAGGAAGAACAACATTTTTTATTCTTCATTGACCTAACAGATAACTTTAAAATAATAATAGGAGCAGTGTATTAAGTGATTATAGCTGGTGAGTAGTAAAATGAATGACAGCAATGTTATAAGGGAGAAGAGGAAGGAATTGGGAATAGTCTCATATAAATGACCTGAACTGCCTATGAAAGATATCACTGAAAGTCGATTTAGACTAGCTCTAAATGTATACTGCAAACTCTAGGCAGTCAATTTCAAAAAGAAAGAAAAGAATTTAAGAGAAGTATAATTGATATGCTAAGAGAAGAGAGAAAATAGAATTATATCAAATAATAACTGAAACTAGAGAAAGCAAGAAAAGAGAAGACAAATGCCCAGACCAGGGATGGAACTGAAACCCAGACTTGTGCCCTGACCATGAATTGAACTGGCAGCCTTTCACTTCGTAGGACAATGACCAACCAACCTAGCCACAATGGTAAGGGCTCACTTTAATTTTAAACACAGATTTAAAGAGATAAGGAAAGATACACAATGCTAACATTAATCCAAAGAAATCTGGCTATTTTAATTTCAGGCAAAGCTGACTTTGTCTCAGAACAAAGAAATCATCAGGGATAAAGATGGGCATTGCATAATGATAATGTCAACTCTCCAAGAAAACATTACAACCCAGTGTATCTACCTCACAATGCAGTGTCAAAATACAAGGCAAAACAGGTAAAACTACGAGAAGAAAGAAAGACGAATCCACTATTTTAGTTGGATCTTCAGTATTCCTCTGTTGATAATTAATAGATGCAGCAGGCAGAAAATCAGTAGGGAGCTAGTGAAACCGACTAGCACCATCATCATCTGGATCTAATTGACAGTTATATAATATTTCAACCAACCATAGGTGACTAAACATTCTCCTCAAGCTTGCAGAGAATATTAGCCAAGATAGACTGTATTCTGGGCTATAAAACACATCTTAAAACATTTAAAAGAATAGACATCATACAAAAGTATGCTTCAGACCAGAAACAACAGATGAAAAATCCCAAAATGTTACAAATTTTAAAAACATCACTAAATAACTCATGGATCAAAGAAGAATTCTTAAAAAATATATATTTCAAAGTGAATGAAAATGAAAAGGCTATTTATCAAATTTATGAGATGCAGTGAAATCAGTGCTTAGAGAAAAATTTACAGCATAGGATGCATATATTAGAAAAGAAAGCTCTGAAATCAATAATTTAAGATTGCATATAAGAAACTAAAAACAGAATAGCAAATGAAATCCAAAGTAAGCAGAAGAACAAAATAACATAAGTTAAAGTAGAAATTAAGGAAACTGAAAACAAGAAATCAATAGAGAAAAATCAATGAAATAAAAATCTCCTTACTTGAAAGATCAATAACATTGATAAACCTCTAGACAAGCTAACTAAAAAAAGAAGAAAGATGACACAAATGCTATGATTAGAAATATAGAATTTCCAGTCAAGATGGATGTGTAGGTTAACTCAGCTCACCTCCTTGCACAACCACAGCAAAAGTTACAACTAAACTGCAAGACAACTCTCACCAAGAATCGTCAGAAAATTGAGCTGTGTGGAAGTCCAACAACCAAGGAATCACATTCATCCAGATGGGTAGGAGGGGTGGCGGGGTGGAATATGTGGTCCGGAACCCACATGTGGTGGATTTAGGAGGGATAGCTCAGGAGTGAAAGATCCCAGACCATGTAGCCCAGGGTTCTAATGCTAGGCAGTTAAGTGCCCATAACTTCTGGCTGTAAAAACCAGTGGAGGTTGGGGTGGTGGAAGAAATTGGGGGATCCTCAGGTGTCTTCTTTTAAAGGTCCCTCAGTGGACTTAGGACTTACACAGACTCACTGCCTCTGGGCTGCAGCACTAGGGCAGCAGCTAGACAGGTACCAGTGGCATACGGGGAAAAACTGAAGTGTCTGGCATCAGCATGAGTGCTGTGGGACAGCTCTTCCTGGATAAAACTCCAGAGGCCAGTCAGCCACCATAGTCCCCTTTCTGAGCCCTCCCTGACACAGAGCCTCAGAGTGGTGACACCATATCAGAGACTCCCTCAACCCAGTTCACATGGGTTGCCTTGCCCTAGCAATTTTCTAAGGCACTGTGCCACCCAACTTACAGACGTGCTTTTCTACAATAGGCCACACTTCTAAAATAGGGAGTCAAAACATCTCTACCTAATACACAGAAACAAACACAGGGAAGCTGCCAAAATGAGGAGACAAAGAAATTTGGCCCAGATGAAAGAAGACAACAAAACTCTAGATAAAGAGTTTGTTCTAAAGAAACAAACTAAGAGTTTGTTCTAAAGAAAGTGGAGATAAGCAATCTATCAGATGCAGAGTTTAAAATACTGGTTATTAGGATGCTCAAGGAACTCATTAGGTACTTCAGCAGCATAAAAAAGACCCAGGCACAAATGAAGTTTACACTAAGTGAAAGAAAGAAAACTTTACAGGGAATCGACAGTATAGTGCATGAAGCTGAGAATCAAATTAAAGATTTGAAATGTAAAGAATAAAAAAAAAGCATTCAATCAGAACAGCAAGAAGAAAAAAGAATCTAAGAAAACAAGGATAGGCTAAGGAGCCTCTGGGAGAACTTCAAATGTACCAACACTTGAATTGTAAGGATGCTGGAAGGAGAAGCGGAAGAGCAAGAAATTGAAGTTATTTGAAAAAAAAGAAAGAAAAATTTCTTAATTTGGAAGCACAGAGTCCCAAACAAGGTGGACACCAAGAGGACCACACCAAGACATATCATAATTAAAATGCCAAGCTTAAAGACAGAGAATCTTAAAAGCAGCAAGAGAAAAGCAGATAGTCACTTACAAAGGAGTTCCCATGTGACCGTCAGCTGATTTGTCAAAAGACATTTTGCAGGCAAAAAGGGGCTGGCAAGAAGTATCCAAAGTGATGAAAAGCAAGGTCCTAAAACCTAGATTACGCTATCCAGCAAAGCTATCCTTTAGAATTGAAGGGCAGATAAAGTGCTTCCCAGACAAGGTAAAGCTAAAGGAGTTTATCATCACTAAGCCATTGTAATATGAAATGTTAAAGAGACTTATTTTAACAAAAAAAGATGATGAAAGCAATGAACCCTAAAATGGCAATAAATTCACAACGATCAATGACTGAATCTAAAAATCAAACTAATGAAACAAGCAAAACAGAGGAAGAATCATAGATACGGAGATCATTTACAAGGGTTATCAGTTGGGAGGAGGAAGGATGAGAATGGGGGTAAAGGTGCAGGGATTAAAAGATACAAATTGGTAGGTTCCAAATAGATAGGGGGATATTAAAAAACAGTATAGGAAATGGAGTAAACAAAGAACTTATATGCATGACCCATGAGGATGAACTAAGTGTGTGGGGGGGATTGCCAGAGAAAATGGGGGGTACCAGATGAATGGTGCAAAGGGGGAAAAATTGGAACAACTGTAATAGCATAATCAGTAAAATATATATTTTTTTAAATCAAAGGGCTACTGATACCATGGATATTAAAAGAATGAAAAAGGAATGTTAAACATGACTTTATGCACACAGATATGATAACCTAGATGAAGTGGAGCAATCCCTTGGAAAAAATAGTAAGCCGAGACTCTGCCAATAAAAAATAGAAAATTCATGTGCCAAACAGATGAAGCTCGTTGCAGACCTTACACTTCTCACATAAATTAACTCAACACATATCATACACTTAAACATAAAACACACAACTTTAAAACTCATAGAAGATAGCATAGAAGGAAATCTATGTGACATTGTGTTTGGTGATAAGCTTTTATATACAATACTAAAAGCTCAATCAATGAAAGAAATAATTGATTAGGAACCAATGATAGTTTTAATCATCTATTCTGAGTTTAATAAAACAATATTTATTTATATTAACTTCATAAAGACTTTGAAGCACTATAAAATGGTAACATAATAAAATAACAGGAATAAAGGATAATAATAGAGAAATTACAAATAAGAAAAATAGTAAAGACAAAATAAAAGATGCAGATTCTAGGGACCCACATAGATACTATAAATACTAGCACTAAATTTTAGAAGCAGTTTTGTAAACTGGGGATGATTCACAAAAGGTCTATATTCGAGGCATTTTTAAAGGTACTATTAACTGGTACTCTTAAAGGTACTGTCATCCTTAAGATTTGAGGATTCATTTGACAAATCTTTGTGGAGTATGAACTATGAACTAGACACTGTTGTAGAATATTGAAAATAGACAAAAATTTATGCACCAACTCAGCACACAACTAGTAAAATAAGCTAGACAATTATATATGGTATGTAAAATATAACATGTGCTAAGGAGAAAAAATAAAGGAGGTAGAAAACTGGAGAATGTGTGTGTGGGCCGCTGTATGTAGGGACGCTGCATTTTTGGAAGGGTGATCAGCAAGTCCTCACTGGGAGAGAGAGTTACTTGAGTAAAGGTCTGAGAGAGGTGGGGGAGGAGGAAAGGGATGGCGTGAGCACAGAGGACCTGAAGAGCATGTGAGGAATGGTGAAGAGGTCATGATAGCTGAAACTGGGGTGGCAAAGGGGGGTGGCAGAAGATGAAGCTAGAGAAGTAACAGATAGTGAAGAGGGTGTGAGGGGTCTTGTGAGACATGAGGACTAGGGCTTTTCCTCTGAGGAAATCTATTCAGATCATAGGAGATGTGTTAGTTATACAGTGCTGTGTAACAAATGAGCCTAAAATATAGTGGCTTGAAGAACACGAAACATTTATTCTTTCTCTCAGTTTCTGCAGGTCCAGAATTTGGGAGCAACTGGGAGAGGGTTCTCAGAGTCTCTCGGAAGGTTGACTGAGGCTCCAGTCGTCTGGAGGAAGGATGTGGCTGGGCCAGGTGGCTGCACATCCATGGTGGGTGGCCCACTTACAGGGCTGGCAGGTGGGCTGGAGCTGCTGGTAGGAGACCTCACTTCCTCTTCGTGCAGGCCTCCTCGGAGGACTGCTTGAATGTTCTCATGACACAGTGTGTCTTTCCCCAGAGTGAGAAATCCAAGAAAGTGGAAGTGTCACTCTCTTTTATGACTTAACATCTGAGACCACACACCAGCACTTCTGCAATATTCTGTTGGTCACGCAGTTCACCCCTGATTCAGTGTGAGAAGGGATAACATAGCAGCCTGGCTCCCAGAGCTGAGTGTCAGTGTGGGCTGTCTTGGGTGCTGACTACCAGGGAGAAGAAAGAGAATGACTGCATGGATATCCTTGTGTGGGCGCAAACACACGGGATCTAGGGCGACAGCAGAGAGAACAGCCCTTGTGAGATGCAGAGAGGTCATCCATAGTACATCAGTGCAGTTGCAGGAGGTGGGGAAGATGTGGTGGTGGGAGCTTGTGAACGTTCTTTTCTGATTTCTTTCCTGCTTCTCTGTGAAACAGAAAACAAAGTCATAGGTCAAGAACGAGGACCTGGAAGGAGGATTTGGAGCTTCATAAATATTTCAAGACAGGGTCTCATTGTTATATTACTTTTGGGTCTTACTACTAAAGAGGAAAAAAACCCTCCTTTTTTGAAACAACAACAAAAAAGATTTTTAAATTTATTTTTAGAGAGGGGAAGGGAGGGAGAAAGAGAGGAAGAGAAACATCAATGTGTGGCTGCTTCTCATGCACCCTCTGCCAGGGACCTGGCCTGCAACCCAGGCATGTGCCCTGACTGGAAATCAAACCAGTGACCCTTTGGGTCACAGGCCGGTGCTCAATCCACTGAGTCACACCAGCTGGAAAAAAAGCCCTCCTTTTGATCACTGTTGTATTATAAACTGCACAGCCTGAGTCTTAGTAAAGTGAAAGAAAACCAACTCTGTGATTTTTTTCATTTTAAACAGCTTTTTCTTCTTTGGTCTCAAGAACTTTCTCTGTAGCATGGAAAAGTTTATGCTATAAACAACCTCTGGTTTGTAATTAGATTAGTTCGTTACTTCTGCTTATGGGGTAAAATGTAATACACATAATTAAGTGTGCTTAAAAGGGCACTTAAAATATAAGACATGATCTTTTCCTAGTCCAATCAGCCTAAAACCACAAGGGATTAAAATGTAGACAAACTCAGGTTCACTGACTTGTTTAAATATTAAAATATCAAAGGAACTGTGGGATGTTTCAGCAAAGAAAGGAAAAGAGAGTTGCTTTAGGACATCGCAAAAGACTGGAGTTTAGGTGCAGTGGAAATGAAGCAGTGTTTGATGGGCTCAAAGCAAAGTAGCATTGTGTGTAAAGGGGTCAATATTGGTTCTAGACTGTAAAATGGACATCCGGTTCTGTTTTCTTGGAAAGAAATGAAGACGTCAAGTGTTATGTCCAGAAACCTGCTGCCTGAAGCTCTGCACATGGAGAATAAATCAGGCTTCTCTCTGTCACACGACCTAACTCCTACAGACAAGAGTGGGATGTTTTATTATTACTGAAATAAGTTCAAAGAGATGTTCTGATAGTCTATAATTTGAGAGAAGATGATGTCTTAGTAAGAAATAAGTAGACACTCCAAGAGTTGGGCTGTTATAGCATTTTACAGCAGTCCTCGTATTTGGGAGAAATACTGTTTTCTGATAAATCTGTACTTGGCTTTATCTGAAGTTCTAATTTTGGATTGATGAATGGTAAGGAAGGTACTCTTACTGCAAGCAAATTTTTACTTTTCCAGTCTATATCATATAACTTACTATATAGTTCAAAATATTGATGCATAAGTCACTTGCCCTGAATAATCTTGGCCAAGATACCTGAAGAGTTTGTGTCACATATTTTTAATTTATAATATAAGGGGGTTGGAAGAAGTCCTCACCAATCTGTTTACATAAAATTAGAGCTCTTTTATTGGAGCCTGAATCACAGTGCCCCCTGCCTGTGTTTACAAGACCTTAGCATCCATGGGTACCATTACGTCTGCTAGTTTCCAAAGGAGGCCTCACACTTTCAGTGTGACACCTTCGTATTCTAACTTCCTTGTGCTAGCCTCCCTGGCTAACAACTACTACCCTCAAAGTTGTCTGAGGAAGACCCCCTGCTGCTGGAACTCATGGCATGGGGCATTATACCTGTGGTCCCATAGCTGCCCTTCCCGAAGTGGCGGGCAGAGCATTGCTGAGTTCTGGAAGAACCGCAGAGAAAGTCTCTCTTCACCATCATGTCTTCTGGGCCTTGAAGCAATCCTGCTCATGCTCAGTCTTTCTGTAAAGCTGCCTGTCTTCGTGCCTCATCTTCTGCAAGCAATCTTCACAAGGGAAAATAAGTAAAACAAGAACAAGCAAATAAGTCAACCAATAAAGAAATGAAGTCAATACCCTCAGAGACCGAGCTCTGAGTCTCCCTTACAGTGAGGATGGACCAGACCACAACAGTCACCATCAGCCTGGGGGGCCCCACAGTTTTGTCAAGAACAAAGGACTTGCTCCAAGTGTGTGCAGTTAAAGGGAGCATCTGTTGTTTTTCTAAAAACAAAGGAATGGCCTGTCCAGCTATTTTAAGGTCCCCATGATTAGAAACCAAAAAACTTCTCAGGGCACCACATTTAAAGTTTTTACTTGATCTTACTCAACAAAAAATTCACATCTCTGGAGTCCAATCTTATCCAGATATTCATTCTATAGCTTAAATAACCATTAAAATGCCCTCCGGTGAATACACGTGGCCTCTCCTACTTTACCTGTTGACATGACCACGTGATTTTTCTTCAAAAGAATTTTCAGCCAATGAATTCATGGGATGAGAGTCAACATAATACCTCTGGTGGGAGGACAGAGAAGGGTCACTGAGGGCACTGATGAGAAGTATCCTTGATGAGACCTAGTGAGGACACTGGGCTGGGTGGGAAATGACTGAGGAAAGAAAGACACTGATGAGGCTCTAAAGGGAAGCCCTCCAGGTGGTATATAATAGCAACTAACAATTACTGAGCATTTATCTGGGCACTCACTGCACAGAGACTCTTATCTGCAGTGTCTTGTTCACTTCCTAGAACAATTTGGTGAGTTAATGCTAATCTTATCTTCATTTTATGGGTGAGGATACAAAGCAAGGTTCGAAGAGCAACTTGCTCAGAATCACACAGCTGATACACGGTAGTGCTAGTTCTCAAGCCAAAATCTCTCTGATTTCAGTGCTTGGGTTATTAACAACATATTTTCCAAAGTATTATGAGATATGAACCTCATTCTGATCTCTTTAAGGAGCTCTTAACTGGACAGGAAAGCAAGTATTTGAAGCAGATAAAAAACTGTAATGTGTCTATGTTACTAAATTCTTAATTTGGCTTCCTCCACTGCCAATCAACTACATCTCGACTTCCTTGTTTCTGACTCTTGAGTGTTCCTATTTTAACTCTATTCCCACGATCCTTATATTTTTTTTAGTGGATGTCTCTTTTTCAAACTTAACATACTAATTTCTCCCTTAGGGATCTCACTTCAATGTTATTTGATTTCGTGGACCAAACTCACTAGTAAGAGACAGCTTTACAGTTGCCAAATAATCACGAGAAAAAGACCACACATGTTTGAAAAAATTGTCAACCATAGGCTATTGATCTGATACAGGAAGTTTGTTAATGACAATTCATAATGGATCCAGCAATCCCATTTCTGGATATATAGCCAAAGGAAATGAAATCAATGTCTCAAAGAGATACCTGCTTCCCGTGTTCATTACAGCATAGCCAAGGTAGGGGAACAGTCTAAGTGTCTCTTGACAGATGAAAGAATAAAGAAAAAGTGGTATATAATGGAAGATTATTATATATTTTAATGGAATATTATTCATCCATAAAAAAAGAAAAAAGTCCTGCCATTTGAGACAATATGGATAAACCTGAAGGAGTTTAGGCTAAAATAAGCCAGTCACGGAAGGAAAAAAACACTTACATGTGGAATTGTAGAAAGTCAAACTCATAGAAGCAGAGTGTAGGAGGGTGGTCACCAAGGGTGAGGAGGGCTGGGGGACATGGGAGATGTTGGTCCCAGGGTACAGACTTTCGGTTATAAGATAAAGAAGTTCTGGGGATGTAATGTACAGCATGGTGACTATGGTTAATAATACTGTGTTGCGTATTTGAATTTGCTAAAAGAGCAGTTCTTAAATGTTCTCTTAACACACACAAAGTAACCATGTGAGGTGATGGATGTGTTAATTAGCTTGGTTGTGGTAATCATTTTTATATATGTGCATATATGTGTGTATGTATATATATGCACACATATATATGTATACATATAAATATGATCACTTATACTTCAATAAAGCTGAAAAATTGTAGTGAATATCTGACACCATGAAGGTCAAAAACTTAACACAGGCAACAAATCCAATATGAGGACAAATATAGTTCCTTTAATTTTGTCTTTAGTAGATTTGGTCTTTCGCCCCACCTGCTGGTATAAAAGAAAATCATTGGCTTTGATTTAGTTTAGCCTGATTTGTCCACTTAAACACTAGCTTTCTTTAATACTCAGGCTCTCAATCCCTCAATGCCCCATCTGCTAATTATCTCATCCAGGTAGTGTTGCTGTGGATGGGCAACAGGGTTTGGCTAACGAGTCATTATGATGATAAATGATGCAGAGTCCTAAGATGTCCTATGCATCTTCTAGTTTCCAAAACAGTGCCCCACTTAAGTTCTGTCTTTCCTATTGGGATTTATGGCTAAAGTAGAACTCTTATCTTTTGCTCCCATGACTCTATAGAAATTGTCCAGATTACCAATCCCAGCTAAATTTAATAGTTAATCCTCTGTCATTATTTATGTGACCCTTGAGCAGCATTTGCCACAGTTGTTTTTCTCATGTTTTCTAATCACACACTTTTCAAAACACCACATTCTCCTTGTTTTCCTCCCATACTCTGGGGCTCCTGCATCAGTCTGCTTGGATAGTGTTCTGCCTGGGTCTCAGACTGATATCCATCCCTGTCGCTGGACCCGTCCTGTGCTTCCTACTAGGATTACAGGCTACCCTCAGCAATAATCATCAGGAAACTGGGGGAGAAAAAAGTTTACTACTTACAGGTTCTGTAAATTACATAGGGCAAGTGGGGCCATACAGTAAGTTCACAGGAGAAAGAGAAAGAACCGGGCCTGGGGTTCTGCTTTTATTGGGGCCAAGGGTGGGATGCAGGGTACTGAGGCCTCATTCTGCACTGGTGAATTTAAACATTAGAGCAGGAAATTTAAAGTGCTGGTAGAGAAGATGAAATGTGGTCCAAATGGTCAGTATTGAAATCAACCAAGAAGACCTCTAAAGCAAAGAGCCTTAGGGTGGGGAGGTGGCCTGGCTCTTTATCGTGGTGTTTACCTGAGATAGACAAGAAGAAGTGGATGCCTCTTTGAGGTGGATGCCTAAGCTATGGAAGCTGAAGTCAGGCACTTGCATCACAAAAGGGAACACCACCTGTCAGGGCCTGCGCTGCTGTAACCACGGACCTCCTAACATTGGAATGCCAGATTGCGCTTGTGAAATCCAGTCCCCTATTTCTAACAGATCACTTGCTATCTTCACTTACAAATCTGAGAGAAAACTCCAATTTATCATCTTCCCCTCCTTAGTCAGTGGCAACCCCATCATTTCAGTTGCTCAGAGCAAAAATCTTGGGGTCCTTAGGCTCTGCTAGCCCACGGTCTCATTTCCTGCCCAATGGGGGAGAAATATAGATTGGGACTTTTTGTTCCTAAGGTCCTGCCTCTGTGATTCACAACCCTTTCTCTTGTTTTACTTCACAATGTCCACTCTGCTCTTGGACAAACATTTAAAAAATTATTTAAAAAACTGGAGTTGTAGGTAAACTTGCGGTAAAATTATATACAATTCATAGTTTAAATTTCAAGTTTATAGTCTGAGATTTTGTGTTTCATCAGAATCAACTATGTGCATCAATTGTCTCTTACAGACCAATAATAGTTTTAACTGGCCACATTTCCTTGGCCTCTTTTGGCCTGTCACAGGGTCTCAAATTTAACATGTTTAAAACATTATCCTTCCAGTAAGGGATACCTATAGTCACATTTGTCCTTCTTCTGGGAATAAAACTTCTGTTCTTCCTGGAAGTATTTCTCTCCATCCTCTAACTTTATTTTCTCACATGAGTCCACCCTGATGGCCTTGTTTGATTAGTTTGGGGATGTTACGTTGGCCCAAGCTCAGCCAATTACATTTCAAAACCTAGCTCACAATCCATTGATCTATTACATGACACAAAGTGGGTTGATTAGAAGCCTTCCTTAGCATTTTAAACTTGGAAGCACAAAGAGTAAAAATCATGGAGTTCATCTCTGCGCTTCCAAGTGTAAAAATATAGAACTAAGTTCAAATATAGAACCTATGGAGATATGAAACAAGGAAGTCATCGGTAGTCACATTTCCAGCTGAGTAAAAGAGAGTCATATGTGGTGAGAGAATAAAACAAGTATTCAGGGACGGGTACAGATAAAAAGTGGAGGACTAGATTCTGGTGACATTGCAGTCCCTGAATCGATTTTATCCCAAGGTCCACTTATATCTCTAGACTTTCAGCTGGTATTAATGAAGAATCTTACACTCTTTGTATTACAGGGACCTATTGCTCTTTGCCTAAGGGGGGAAATGACATTTATTTTCTGAAATGGTTAAGAAGGATATTGAAGAAGCTAATATGAGCAAAGAAATAGTTGTATTAACTAGTCCTCTATTAATGTCTGGAACTGCCACTTCAGACCTGCTGGGTCACTCTTTTTATTCATCCCTCATCACTGCTTGTGTTAGTTTTAACTTGGTCTCAATTGAGCTTCATGCAGTTAGACTTTTTCTAGAGGGCTGAGGGAGGGGGTTGCAAGCTGTGTCAGCCTTTCATCCTTCTTACACAGCAACAACAAAGACAAAGCTCTAGGGGAAAAGTCTCTGCTGGCTTTAATGGAAAAGTCTCATAAAAGTGCTTGATTGGCATAGCTCAGGTCTGCTCTCTACCTCTGGTCTACTCACTCTGGTCAAACGCATAGGTTCTCTGATTGGCCAGACCCAGTTCACATGCTCGTTTTATATCTGTGAGTAGGTCAAACATAACTGCACTCAAAACATAAAGATTGCTCCTAGAAGGGATGTTAAAATCCATTCTAAGAAGACAATATGGTAGCTACCATAGTCTACTGCACCATCGCTGGTTTAATCTTTTCTTAGATTTCATACAGCAAGAAAAGCCTCCCCCCCCACAACCAGTTGAGTTATTTTCTCAAATTTGCCATCAAGAGTCCTG